GAGTGTAAAGAGCACTGAACAACAAGAGGCAGATTCTCTCTCGGTGGAATTACGGATATACGGACTTAGCGTTCACAGTGTGTGACCGTGTACGAAGTATGTATATCTGTTTTGTCACCCGACTCGCCTTTCTCTCTCTGTCTTCTCTCACCCCCTCTTGACCGCCGTCTCGGTGTTTTGCTACGAACTAGGCTATATGATTAGGGGTGTGGTTCACGATCGCGACCTCGCCTTACCTCATCCTCGAAAGAAAAAACCCGCGTGACTAACCGTGCCCACCGCCCTTCGGGGTTGGGGTCAAGGGAAAAGAGGGGTAAGGTAATGCTGGTGAAAATTCTGCAACGCGTTTTTTTTTCTTCTGTTTCTCGTGACTTCCAAGACTGGTTGAGAGAAAGGGTGAGAAAGGACACGGTAGCTAGCAAGTAGTCTTGGGAAGCAAATTCGGAGTCTGGCGGGTGACGAGGTCATGATGAGATTTTGTGAAGAAGCAGCGAAGGGGGAGGTGATATTTGATGGAGATGGAGGCGGGCGACGGGTTAATGGGGACATAAACACCTTCTTCGTTGTTGTTTATCAATATTGAAAGTAAAAAGTGAAGATGTATATATATGTCCCGAATATAAAAGTAGGTCTTTATAGCAAAAGATCATTGACCAGCCTGGGGGTCGAACCCAGAATCTCCTGATACCTATACTCTCCCACATGTACCCGTACAGCCAGAGCCGTATGGTTTATTAGAAAGAATCGTAGTCAGACGCCTTGCCATTGGGCCAACCGGCCGTTCGTTTTTCGAACGTGTCGGATCCTCGCGGGATCTGGATTTGTGTGGTTCTCTTTGCGGAGGTGGGTTGATCTCTGTGGGCTCTGTGTTTGTGGACTCGAAGGTGGGCGCGCCGCCGGCACGGGAGGATTCTCTGGTGGTGAACGGAGTGGACCGTGGAGGGACGGGAGGGGATGTGGACTTTTCTGATGGAGATCTGCTTGGTTTCAAGTTATGGGTGATTTGATGGATATCATGGGGGATGTGCGTTTTGGTCTTGGCTCGAGGTCCCGGCTAACCACCACATGAAGTTGAAAGTTGCGTGTGGGAAGATCACGAGGCTGTGATTATAGTCGATGTAGCTTGACTAAGGCTCGGGAGGTCCCTTATGTAGGACCAGGTGAGAAGACAATGCTGTAATTGCTTGCTTTGACTGGGTTCCAGTAACTCTCTACTCGAGCCACATGTCGTTGCTTCTCTGCTTGAACTAAAGCGGCAGACGTAGGTCCGTGAAAAGGGCACGAGTGATGAAATATGAGGACTCTGGTGAAAAGCATACCAAGTCAGACCTCTTAATAACGTGTACCTATTTGATTATATCTCTCTCTAGTCCCATGAGTGTTTGGCAAGACAAGAATATCGGGTTGTCCTCTCCGGGGGCGCCTCAACATGTCCAGGCGCGTCAGGCTTCCTAACGAGTCCAGGTCTTAATCGAACCTCAAGTTGGACCTTGCTAGAACTACGGCGTAGATGGCTATTCTTTTGCTTTGAGGGATCGAACTACTTTCCTTCATGGCGCGATCCATGCTGATTTCGCATATATCCTTAGAGGATTGGTCTTGAAATATCTCGCGGCAATAACTCCAGACAAGGCTACGCTGCCGAGACGTCGAGTATGAGACGGGTCACCCAACCGACAATTTAATAGACTACTGCGCCAAAGGCATGTTCTTCTCGGTTGACAGTGACCCAAGGCTCTTTGCCTGACGTATATCATGATATTCAGTAAACCACGTACAAGTAGAGGCATTTCCAGTGTGAGGAGACGGAGACAATGGAACCCCGTGATGTGGAAACTTTGATTTCAATCTTTGATGATGAGTTCCAAATACACGTGTGTACTTGTTTTGTTGCTGATCCCGTGGTGAGTCACTCATGGTTTTCAGAGTTGCGTTTGGGAACATTATCCCAACTGAAGCAGCTACGAAGGCTGTACAGCCCGAAGAGCAAACCTAAAAACAACTAGAAAAGGCCGAGTTTGCCCCAACGAGCTGTCTTGCTTTTATATCGAGCTAGATACAAGGTCACTAGGATATTCAGCCTATCTCTTCGCGGCGTGAAAGATGAAACTATGTCCAAGAGGGGGAGAAGGAGGAGATGGTCGAGTAAGAGCAGTTGTGACAACGGCTTGGTCCAACATCTCCTCGTATACGCAATGCCGCAAGGAGGAGTACGAGTGACCGCTCAGCTTCCGAGCTCTCCGTGAGGTCAACGCCGATGGTAATCGCAGGCACGCATACAGGGGCAGAAGTGAATGGCTAGGCAACGTGGACACAAGGAGTATTGGTCAAGCAAAGCTTCCTCTTATGAGAACTGGCTTCCCAGACGCTGTTGCCGGTACCTAATAAGAGTGCCAGTCATGATGTTAGTATCTCTGTGGACTTTATTGACGCAAAGAAGCGATGATCGAGTCCATCCCATACATCATTTCACCTGGCCCCCCCTATCGTAGGCTCAAATACCCACATGACCGGCCACATTGAAGAAGAGAGTGAGCTGATCACAAGCCTCATAGATTTCTCGTGTCACACAATGGGACGACAATGAAGGTTTCACATATTAGTAGTCTTGGATCCTTGAGGATTGCTTCCCAGTCTACAAGTAGTCTTTGGCGCTGCCTATCCTGCAAAGTCGTTCCTCGCTCAGACTTGATTCTCTTCCAATTGCCTGGAACGGTCTCGCATACGTTGATATTCTAGACAATAGTGATGTTAAAATCATACCTCGAATACACAAGCAAGCAAGAAAGAAGTCAAGAAGAGATTTTGAAACTGCAGTGCGAACCTCTTCGTTTTCGTCAGTCAGCGACCGAGTTGACATCTCGTCCCTACACACTGGTCCGTCCATATCAACGGCATTACCCCGTGGAGATCGGGCACTGCATTACGTGTGTTCGAGTACTTGTTGCCTGTTTTGATAGGGAATACATTCAAGCTATGCAAGAAAGGCCGTCTTCATCTCGTCTCAAAGGCCTCTCATCATCGCTACGAAGTCACACTCCCGAGAACTATCCGAGGCCTCTGATGGTACGAAGTTTCGGAACGGCCTTTCCAAGATTATATACGAAAAGCTCACCGAAGTTCCAGTACAGTCCGGCTGTGGTCTATCTCACACAATTCGATCTCTCCATCACAAGGTTCCCGGGAGGCCCACACAAGACCCAGGAGATGAGCGGACACAATCCTCGCCGACGCCTAGCATGTCAAGAAGCCCAGAAGCACGCGACGCCCTCCCCTTTTGTTTGGTATCTCGTCGTACTTGTCTCGACGCTGGACGTGCTTGTAGATTTCCCCGCCGGCAGCTATTCAAAACGCACCAACTAGAATCACCCCGAATGAAACATTTCTCCGTCCTAACAATTCTGACAATTCGTTCCTCGCATGGCACACGATAGCCGTTGTCATGGTGTTCCTCTGCACCTCCAAGCTATATTGACTTTGGACGGGAAATATCAGTAAGACCAGCCCAACGCAAAAAGACGTCGGAATTGTGCCCAACCCGCTCAAAGACTCGACCCGAAACAGTGAAAGCTGCGCGTGCGCAGAGACGAGGTCCCTCGGCCAGTCGGTGAGCCTATCTGCATCCCATACCCAGTCCAGTCGACCCAAAGGAGGAAGGAGGATTGAATCAATAGGAGAAGCCTCAAAGAACGCCCACGAGACTTCTGCCACCAACACAGAGTAAATAGCTCTTGTGTGGATGCCTTCCTACACGTTCGTCCACTCCAACAGAATAGAAATCCCCTCTGAAATATTCTTAAACCCAAACCGAGACATCATCAAGCACCCTGAAACCAACTCCAAGAGCTCTCTATCTGATGGATGCTTTCTACACACTGTTGCGTCAGTCTACTACCGCGCCCGTGTCTTCCAAGTGTAGTCTCGTAGATAGCCTTCAAGTGCCCATATACTTCCGCCAGCTCGCACGTCGAGATGGTACTCGGGCTCAGCAAGTCGACCTCGACGGAGACGGTATCTTTTACGTGTCGTCGCCGCCAGTTCCGGATATCAAACAAGCGAGAAAACGAGAACGATATGTCAACCGACTCACACGTATGAGAAAAGAAAAACACAAATTACCCCCAAAGTTGGCTTTCAACTTGACTATTCCCTTCTCCCTTCATGGCCAAGGCTCAAGAGGGATATACGACCCTTGGAGGGGGAAAAAAGGCGTGAATGAACGTGATTCGAACCTATGAGATTTCTAGATGGTCATATAAATAGGGCAATCGAGTGCCAGCCTACACGGGAGGCTCTTACCGCCAGGCAATCTCCAGGCGGGTAGTCACTTCCAGGGTGAAAACATGAAAAACCTTTCCTTTTGAGTTGATCTTTTTTGGCACTTTGGGTCCTTACATACCATTCCCCCCTCCCCTCCAATCAGGAACCGAAACGAACGAAACCTTCATGCGAAAGCCTGCCTCACAATACGTTACGCGCCCAGAGGAGAACTTGGGCTCCCGCACAAGAGATAAGTGCAAAATCTGAAGGATTCTATACCTATCCTTTCCCGAGTATCATACAGGTCGGGCTGCCAACTCGTCATGGTACAGACGAGAAAACATCCTAGACGAAAGGCCAAAAGGATCTTTGCAGGCTCGCTCGCAGCCAGGTCCTCCCTTCCTGCTATCTTCTTCTCCCTCACTCTCTGTGCTGGTATCCGTTCCCCTTCTTCATTATCAAGCAAGAAAAACACAATAAAAAAGCATCCCTCCACGCCTCACACCCCGAGGTTTTTTGATATGTCCCTAAAACTCCAGAACACAATGTGTGCAGCCTTGCTACAGAAAAGAAACGTGAGTAATGAGCCGAGAGACGGTCAATGCCACAACCTGATATAATTCCCATGCCTGCGCTGTTGCCGCCGTAGTCGTTCAGGAAGGGCAATCCAACCCCCCCTGAAGGACTTGATGAAACCAGAAACCAGTCGTCGCCGTGTTCACGCGGGCCAAATCTTGGAACTACTTGAGCATGGAGTGGGTGCGAATGCCCTTGGGGCCAAGCTCGCTGCGGAAATGTTAGCAAAGCTACAATTATACGGGTAGTGAGGGCAATGGAGAGAAAACGTACTTATAGTCGACTCTGCTTAGGCTGGCTTGACGCTGAGCCTCGAGACCGGCCATATCGAGATTGTGCTGGCAGAAAGCGATGCGCGCGGCAACCTGCGCTCCCAGGAACATGGCCTCCTCGAAGCCGTTCTTGTTCCACTCGCTGAGGTAGGTGGGCAGCGTCGCCAGCTTGATGCTCGTGGGCGTCTGGCTGTGGAAGTGATGGCCCGCAACAGAGTGAGTGCCGTTGGGGCCGGCATCACCGCTGGGGCCCGGAGTGCCCTGGTGCTGAGCGGAAGCCGTGGTCGCGGCCTGAAGCAGGGGATTGACGCCCGAGGAGCCGGCGGCGGCATTAGCAGGGAGCTGGTGCGGGGCGCCCGTGAAAGAGCCCGTAGGAGTCTGCGCACCGGTGCCAGTGGGAGTCGCGATGTTAGACGGCAGCTCCGAGGTGAACATTGTCGCCGTGCTGGGAGAGATGAGGTGGCGAGCCAAGAGGGTCTGGACAATGTTGTCCTTCAAACCGCGGAGGCGAGCGCCATTGCCGACGAAGACAAGGTTGTCCCAGCACGGAGGGCGCATGTACATGTCGTCGATGCCTTGAATAGTGCGGTAGATTGTGGTTACAATGCGGTCGATCTCGCCACGGTCAGCAAAAGTGAAGCGCTCGAGACCGACCTCAATATCGCGGCGGATGCGCTTGGCCTGCATCTGAGGAGCACCGTTGGTGGCGGGAGAGGCCTCTGCAGGGATCGTAGCGGAATGGCCGTTTGTGCCATTCGTCTCGGGAGCAGTGACTGGGGCGGCAGCGGGAGCTGCACCATCCGTTGCCGCTACCGGAGCCGAAGACTCGACGGGCTTGACGTCGCCCTCGGTGGTAGCAGGAACTGTTTCATCGGCGGGCTTGGTGTCATCCGTCATCTCAACATCCTTGGACTCAGTCGCGCCACCCGCCTCTTCTTTCTTGGGCTCCTCCTTGGTCTCTGGTTTGGGCGGCTGAACCTCCTCCATGACGACCTCTTCGAAGTGGAAGGTGTTGTGAGTTCTCTTGGAGTTGGGCAGACGAACCGGCTTCGCAGCCTCGGCTTCCTGAGTAGCCTTGGCCTTTCTGCCACCCTTTTGCTTCTCCTTCTCCTTCTTGGCGAGGAACTCACGCGCATTTCCGCTCGTCACAATGGACGCCACATCGAGAACACCCTCCTCAGCCGCCTTCTCCTCAATCTCCTCCTCGGCGGCAGGAACAATCGGTTGCGCAGTCGGTGCGGTAGTAGGAGCCGCCTCGGCAACAGGCGCGCTGGCAGGAGCTCCTGCCGTCTGAGCTGTGGGGAGATCCATGAGAATAGAGCTGTTTGGCGCATATGGTAGCACCTCGCAGATGTGGCTCTTCTTCAGCTGCTCCGCCATGTCGTATTTGAAGTCCTTATCCTTGAGCTTCTCAAGGAGCTTGCGCGTGAACATGTCTCCACCCGAGATGAAGCGCTCCGGGGTCGGGGAACCGAGCTCTCCATGGTTGACCACGCGGCCGTCGTGTATACAGGTGACGTCGACCTTTTCGTAACCAATATCCACCACAGTGAGACTGGGCCACTTGAGGCCATACTGGGTAGCGATACCGCTGTGGATCATGCAGAGGGAAGGAGTGCGAGTCTTTTCGAAGATATAGCGCGCGATCGTCTCGGTGTCGGGGCGGCACCATTGAGGCGAGGCCATGAGCATGATTGGGGTATTGTGGTAGGTGGTGGTGAGCATGCTGTGAACATGGTCAAGAAACGCCAGGAACGCCTCCATGTTAACAATGCGACCGCCTGTTATAAGACATCAATTAGCACCCCGAACGTGAAAAGAAGCAGCAGCAATCGAAGAAATCGCACCTTGCATAGGGTAGACAGCTCCTTCGTCCGAGTCGGTATCCTCAACCCACTCGTAGTCATCATCGTCGGTCCGCGGGCCATCGATGGCAAGCGCGACATTGGCATTGGCCTTCTTGCGCTTGAAGGTGTGGAAGGGCCGCCACTCGTCCGTCTCGGCGTCCTTGAACATGCGTGTCGGGATACGATGGACGGGCGGGGTAAGCTCGCCGCATCCCAGCTGGGCCATGGTGGTCTTGCTGCCGGGACAGATGATGAGGACCTGGTCCTCGCGGAACTTGCCCGTCTGGGTCGACATTTTGCCGGCGCGCGAAGCTTTCTAAGCACCGCTGGGAGTGTCCGTCAAGTTGTCGTTGTTGTGCGCGAGGTTTCCTGGCGTGCGCGGGGTTTTGGCAGCGCCTTTTCTCGGAGTCTTCGTGGGGGTAATGGGAATCGTGGGCTGGCGAGGGCGCGGACGAAGTCGAGTCGCGTAAGAATTGGCGACGTGCTCAGAGTCGCTATCGCTCTTGCTGCTACTGCTGCTGTTGCTGCTGCTGCTGGCACCTGGGCTGCCACTGCCACAGCCAAAGCTGGAACTGGCTGGGAAAGTACCATGGATGGTCCGAGCCACAGACATCGCATCATTGTTTCTCCGAGCCTTGCAGCCATTGCAGGCACATCCCACTTTGGTGTGTGAGTTGATTCTCATCATGAGATGTGTTGGGGTTGTGGTGTTTGTGTGTGAGGAGAAAGAGGTTGATGATAATTCTGCAAATCGCGAAGTGTTGAATGGAAAAGAAAGAAATTGAGGTCAGAACAGGGCATAGAGCAAACCACCATCCAAACGGACCATCTAGGCAGAGAAAGGCACCCGGCCCTTTGCCTCACGCTCTGCCGACTTCACCTTCATGAACGGCTTCACCTTCGTACGCAAGGCATGTAAACATGTGACTTCACAATGCGAGTGTGAGACTGGAGTCACGGCTAGTCAGATTGGTCTGAATGATTGATCATTATCTTTAGGCAATAAGTCGAAGACTAGGCTATCTGTCCTAGGTGACCAGGGGCCACCCTTTTATAGCAGTCCAGCTCCATTGAATTCTTTCACAGCACCTTGTTTGCTGTAAAGCATCGCCCCGATATCTACACACAATCCGGTCTCCAATTCTCTTGACCTCATTGACCCTCAGGTACACTCCTGTGTCTGGCCTTCCCCATGGTATGGTGTTGTTGGTGCCTCCTTTTGCCGGCCTATTTGTTCTGTACACCCATAAACGCCTTTTGCCTGTCATAAAGTTGGTCGTTATTTATAAACTGTGTGGTATCCTTAACCGAGGATTCCAGTCCCAAAATGTCCCAAACGCCTGGTACACATCTTGAGTGATGAATGTGACACCTGAAGGACCCCCAAAAGGTGCCATGGCGCCTGTGTCGCTGAAAAGACTAGAAATAAACAAAAAGAAAAAAGAATGGTATCATGCGACATTGACTGCCTGGGGAGTGATGTGTCTCGACTCAAAGCTTGTAGTTTCTCTCAGGGATGTACCCAAGGGATTCATGAAACCTTCCTCATCCGGGAAGGCTCCAGGTGCCATGGGCGTCGCCTGCTCAGGCTCCTGGATTGTAGGGGTTTGAAGGGAAGACACATCCTCTGTTTGTGACTTCTCAGTCAAAGCAGAATCTGTTGTCTTCTTCTCATCCTCGAAAACATCCGGGGCCGTCTCTTGAATCGATGGAATATTGTCCATACCGCTTCGGATAGAGGCTGAATCGATGGATTGTCTCGGCGAGAGGGTGAAAGAGGCCTGCATGGGGCTGTGAAGATGGCTGACGTCTCCGATGTCGCTCTTGCTGGCCCGAGAGGTTCTCATGGGGCTTCTGGCAGGCAGAGGAGGAGGGATTCTTTTGGGGATGGTGACCAAAGCGCCCTTGGCGTGAATAGGGGCAGCCATGACGACTGCAGCAGGCTGAACAGCTGCAACCTCGAAGATAACAGGCTCTTCGAAGTCGTCGTCTTCTTCCTCATCCTCCTCCTCATCATCAGCATCGACGTTTGGCTCATCCGTCTGGATATCCTCCTTATCGTCGTCGTTTCTGGAGATAATGCTAGCATCGTCCTTTGTGTAGATGCTGGAAGCCTTGGTAGCGGCGTCATCCATAGTGCTGACATCGGTGCGCAGGTGGTCATCGCTGTCAGTCATGACGGTTCCTTCAATCGAGTGGCTTCCGCTAATTTGCCTCAACGGAGTCAAGTCAATCTTGGTGTAGTCAACCTCCTCAGGCTCCTCCTCTTCCTCTGGCTCCTTCAGAACTGGAAGGCTATTAATGGAAGCGCCGTCTTCGCTCTGGCTCTGGCTCTGGCTAGGTGAGGTGAATGGCGTTCCTGTCTGGTTTGATTGTGTCCAAGCCTCGGACATCTTAGTGCGGCTGGTTTTGGTAGACATCAGGCTCCCTCGGTTACTCTTTGTCGTAAAAGTCTCGCCGCTCTGCCTGAACTTTGAGAATGCCGGGCTCGAGGGAACAGGGTGGAATTCGAACTGGTTGCTCGTTGGTCGGAGGCGTGTGCCAGCCTCTCGAATCTCTAGTCCTGCCATCTCCAAAGCCAAGACACCGAAAGGGTCAGGGTCCTCAGTGTTGGGGATGCCGAAAGGAGTCTTGGGTGATGCTGGCGAGCTCCTAGGCGTTTCTATCATGGCGTCTCCTGGTGCTGGCAGTGCCGAAAGCTTCTTGAGGATGGCTTGGTCGGCATCGATCCTTCCTTCCGCCTCCTTAATGACTTCGAACAGAGGGCGTGTCTCCTCAACGTGCCTCGACACATTGCCTGCAACCACGTCCATCGCCGTTACGTTGCCACCGTAGAATCTCTCATTCTCGTTGGCTCGTTCCGTCAGGATGCAGCCGTTCAAGTTGACGTTCTGAGTCTGGCCTCTCGCCTTCATGTATGTCAGGACGGTGTTGTCGAGGTCCTTCCACCGGCTGTCGACCTCTGTAGATTCCAGCGGAACCAGCGGTCCAGCAGTGAGGCCGATGTCCTCTCCCAAAGTCAGAGTTGGTTTAGTTATTAATGATTCGAGGGCGGCAATGTTGTTGATTACCAGGACACAGTCGTAAATGTCAATGCCCATAATAAAGCTTAGCGAAGGCGTATGGAGTAGGATGCCCGAAGGTGGCGACCAGGTGCCGTCAGCTTTTCGAGCAATAAGGATGCCTGAACCGCCTGATCCGGTCATCCACAGGCCGGATCGCATGCAGGTGAAAATGGCGATACCTGCTGCATTTTGTAGGATACGGGAGGGAATCTTCTTGAAAATTCGTGCTGGAGTTTTTGGTTCGGCGTTGGGATCGCTACTCGGCTGGTCGTCCAAAGGTGCGAGGAACCCGTCGGCTAAGCGAGCACATTGGTGTTAGTGAGGAAACGCGGCATGATGCGGTCGAGCTTCAGCAATATCGCGAATCTCGCCGAAGTATACTCACAGCAAAATGACTTTAATATGCGAGCGGCGCGCTCGCATTCGGCATCGAGGGTTGCGGGCCAGAAAGCCTCCCGACCAATTCGTGACGTTGTCGCTGAGACGAGGGCGTTGGTAGTAAGCGGCGCAGGAGGCTTGCTGGACCAGCGAAAGACCTTGTCGAGAGGAGATTTGATACTGCTTGCGGTGACCACACTGCTTCGGCCATTACTTGTGGTGCTGGCGTTGCTGGTCCTCCTCCTGGCTTCCCAGGATGGGAGAAAGCTCGAAACTCGTTGCATGGTGTTCGTGGCCCAGATTGGCGGTGGTGGGCTTATTAAGGGTGTTGGTGATGTCTTCCTGTCCCCGTTCGCGGATGAAGACGGGGGTACGAACGCAGCGACATGCGTCAAGGTATTCTGCGGTGTTGCTCATTCACAAACACCCAGAAACTCCAGCTCTTACTAGATCCCGCCGGTATGGGAAGAAGTTGAAGAAGCAGGAAATAAAAGGCAGATGAGAGATTGGGGGACGAATTGGGCTTTGTTAGACAGGATCAGTCCAGGTCCACTGGGGTCAACTCAGCCTCCTCCACTTTGCGAAAGGCCGGGCGAAGCAACGATTTTTGCAAGGTGCAGCGCAGGAGCGACAGCGGATGGCATACGGTTTGTAGCAGCGGCAGACTCACGGTTCACCACCCAAAATGCAGCGGGAACTTGAGATGGGAAGGGGAGGGGGGTGTCGTGGACTCGTGGGTGTGTGGGAAGAGTGTGTAGGTTGCGGGCCAAGCGGGGAGCAAGTGGGTGTGTGTGGTTGCAGACGGGGTGGGCGGAATTTTGCTGCCTGGGTCCTTGAGAGAGGGGCGTGGTTTACCGACAAGGGAGGGGACGGGAGAGGCCTTGACAGACTCCAGAGCGAGCGAGAGAGAGAGAATGGCGAGAGGGAAAAAGGAAAGGTCTGAAAGTGGTTGCGCGCAGGTGACGTGGGCGACGAGGATGACAAGAGACGAATGATCCCTGTCACCCTTGTTCGTGGACGGCGCCGGGCCAGATGGGCCATGGCTTGCTCGGGTCCAGGACCAGCATTTTGTTTTTTTACACCAGGCCAGACCAGACCAAATCAGACAAGACAAGACCAAGTTCCTAAGACCAGAAACAAGACCTAGCGGTTCGCAGGCTTTGGTGAGTCTTGAACCACTTGAACGGCAGACCCGGAGCCGTCAGGATTCCGAAGAAAGCGCCCGGTGGAGGCAAGAGACGCGCTTCACAACATGAGAGAAATGGCGTAGAGTGTGAGGCGAGTACCCGTAATGAGATCGGGCAGTTCAGGTTCTCATTCTCAGCCAAAATGGGCCGCTAGATGAACTCAGCCAGACAAGCCCAGGATATTGAGGTGCTGTAAGTTTGACGAGGTACCTCCACTGTCTATCTGTTTCCATACGTACTTAGTAACCTGGTAACCTTATTCAAAAGTAGAAGTATCTGTTTTGCCCTGCGTTGAGTAATTAGGTGTTGCCTCGTGCGCAGAGAGGATGATGCGATGACTGAGACTGGGGTCAGGGGACCTCTACGGCAGCGGGAAGATGGCGGGATGCAAGAAGGTGAAGTATTTGAGGTAAGGGTGACCACACGTGTTTTGCACACGATTCACGACTGGGAGATGTTTGTACCCGTCACCTACCACATCATCAAGTGAGGTACATTATGACTTGGTAGTGCGGATATACATCGTGGCATACGTGGGTAGACTCGAATCAGGCAAGGTGAGGAGAAGATTGAGAAAATTGGGTGAGCAACTGACCCAAAAGTCTGGCCCGATTCAGCGCATGCTTTAGGTGTCTGATGCCTTTCAGGGTTCGGACATGTCCCAGGGTACGTCGACCTGAGGCGGAGCCAAACTCTCAGCTGAGGTATTCGCAACCTGACCGCCGACTGAATCCGTAGGTACCGCAACTTGGGACACGATACGTATTCGCACCTTACACGCTGAGGTGCGTACGAATACCTCGAAATGATCAGGCAGGCACTACACGAAGTACCTCAGTGCAGCCCACGAAAAACATACCCACGTTGATGATGAGTTAGGTACCGGTATCCGTACGCGGGACTAAGGTAGGACAGAGCACACTGCGTCAGGTACTTACCTAAGTTCCTTGGCCGGGGGTTTTCATCAGCGCTGCAGCTCGGGTATCCTTCACTTGCCGGTAGCTCCACGGTCTGCAGCCTGACCTTGGAGCAGTAGGAGCGGACTTGGCTACAACGGGACTGACAGCAAAGTGCATGCATTGAAGGATGACAACACCGTCCACATCTGGCACCAGGCTAGTGTGACTAAGTTGCTTCCTCCCACTTAGATGGGCCACTGGACATCGAGATGTGATGTGATGTGAGGGGAAGAGAAGCAAGCTATGCAGTGCTTGGCCGAGCTTGGGGGCGATATAGCGGATTGTATAGAAACGTGCAAGCAGCAGCCCGGAACCTCTCGGCAAGCATTGAGCACTTGCTGACGGGCCATGCCTGTTTCCATTACTGCATGAGGGTGAGTCCAAACGTAGCTATGATATGAGATGTGTTGTATGCCCTGTAGTACGTATGTATGAATATGAACCCATACGTTACGCTGGCAACAGCTCAAGCACGCACTGCATCCCGGGCAGGAATCAAATGCCCAGCATGCATCACTCAAACGCGGCCTCAGCGACTCGATTCGACATGCAGATCGCGACCTAGAGAAGATGGAAGAGGCAGAGACTGGAAACTATGCTAGTGAACCCAAGGGAGAAAAAAATATTGATAAAGAATATTGAAGAGGAAGCAAACAGGGCAGCCGCCCACTCATCCGCCGCCGCCGCCGCCGCCACAGCCAAGCCGAGCAACAACAAGAAAGAAAGGAAGAAAAGACACTATAAAGACAATCTAACCAACGTCCCCGATCAAGTACGTTCAAAGACACGACTAGCTCTGGCTTGCATGGCTTGCTTGCTCGGGCTGCATGGCCGCTACGCTTGAAGGGCCAGTGTCTTCAATTCAAAGCACATTTGCCTGCATCGCCGCCCCCATTGGGTGAGACCATCAAAAGGTTTCCTGGCACGCTTAGGGTAAAGAGTAAGCGCAGGGAGAGAAACTCCTCCTCCCAAAGCATATTGAGATGAAACCTTGTCATTTCGTTGCGAGCCTGAGCTCCAGTCCAGTCGGCGTCCGCAATCTCGCAGCAAACTCCGTTACCCTTCAACAGAGTCAGACCCCTTCTTGGAACCCTGATTGTCCCATTCGCCCGCCCGTCGTCCGTTGCCCAGAGCGTGCAGCAGAATGCACCTCCAATCCAAGACATGCACGCAAGGGAAAAGAAAGGAAAAAGGGTCTGGGCGCAAGCAGGCACACGGACGCTGATGGCGTTGGCGATCCCACTCATCTTGACTCTTGACTTGCCTTGACATGCAGCCTGATCCATGCTTCGGGCGAACCATGCTGTATGCAGTGGTGCACTACACTACACTACCACGACTATGTACTTGAGTCGGTGGAAACTTGGCTAATGATATGTATTTCCTGTAAGCGTGCAAGCCGCTGCCCGATGAAAGGGATAGAGCGCAACTTCATATCTACGCTGGTGTTCTGTTCAATGTGTAAGATGCCAATCTGTGCAAAGAGGGAAGAACATCGGGGCGGAAAAAAGATACCTGCCTCGAGACATCCAGGGCAGGAACAAAAGATCGGGAAGTAGATGCCGTGCCTCACGTGTTGTACCTGGCGCTTGCCTTTTCGTTCTTGTCTTAGATGGTGGTGGTTCTTGCCCCAAAAGATGGGAAAAGAAAACACACATCTTAGCAGAATGGGGGAAAAAGGAAGTTGCCCCCCATTTTGGCGCATACCATCGACAGCAGCCACAAAATCCAATGGCTTCTTCTTTGCCCATTCCCGTCTTTGCCTCGTGTCTCTCCAATGGGCGTTGGGGTTTTATTTTCCATGTCTCTCCGTTGTCTCTCGGCGTCGCTCTCTTCCAGTCTCGGATTCTCACTCATCAACGTCTTTCGAGTTTCGTCCCCAACAGCAATACTACCGTCCCAAGCGTGTAAGCGTACCTCCCACGACCTTCCGCTCCAACAGCACCTGCGAACCCCATGTTCCAAGTTCCGATTGCGCACCCACCGGCACAGTCGTCTTTGACTTTGAGGGGCCGGTTTGCTGCAGTACCTTGCCTAGGTAGATGCAGTGACTTCTGCAACCCAAGACCAGCAGCAATTGTCCGAAGGAATGTGCTCCGTTTATCGCTTGGCCCATCCGCGACTCTTTCGAAGTTCAGATCGCCCCATCACCCCACCACTCGCCGTACACTTCGGTCGATTCGTGCTGCCAGCCAACGTCAGCTGGGGACTAGGTATCGAGTACTTCTTGCTCCGTCGCTATCGCCGCCGCCATCCAGAGTATTGATATCACACACTACCCACACTATCCGTATGCGTACATGCCGCAGGCAACCTCTAGAAGAGAGTGGAGGCCCAACCTAGCTCTGGCCCGCCTCAAGATGTCTCCTTCATCCCACCAAGCCCACCTCAGCTCAACGTTGCCGAACCTGACAGAAGCATACGGACGGCCTTTCGCCAAAGACCAAAGGGTGTGGTACTCTATCCGGCGTTCCTGGCTAACGCATGGCCGTCGCTATCAAGTCAATATCGACGCAACCGAACAAACCATTTCCTCGTATGTGTCAACCAGAGAGCCTGCTTCAGTCAACTGTTGGTCTGTCACCAGTCCCTTCTCGGCTGCATATGATCAATTGGCTCTCTTTTTGGTCGCTCTCGCACTCAACCCCGCTATCATCCTCGTGTAGCGGGCGGGGAAGGATGGCTATATCGACGTTGCTCATCACCCTCCGCGGCATCGATCGCCTCTGCGCTAGCTCGTGAAAGTCAAGAGGACGACAGCCGTGCTGACCGGCCACGAGCCGAGGAACCCTCCAAACCAGATCGGGCTCATGGCTCAAGCCACCACAGGGGAACGAGAAAAGCAAACACTGCGACAATGAACCATTTCAGCCAACCCGGGAACTGTTTCATTCCACCCGAGCATGGTCTCCGACTTTCCCGCGTGATTCGAGGCCAGCAATCATGTCCTAGGCACCTGGAAGCCCACCACTCCACAGACTACGGACTACAGGTCCACAAGAGACTGGTTGCTCTTCGACAAACCGAGCGCCCGGCTAGCTGACGGTGCAGTGAAGTAGGTAGCACTGGCATCTGACGCTATCACACCAATGTCTCAACCCTCCCTTGGACCCGAAGAGTGCAGCAGATTGCACTGCAGCTCTGCATTCTTATCGAAGCGGGCACCGCAAGCATCCAAGCGTCTACGAGACGCTTTTGCTGCAGTTCAGAGCCGGCCTCTTACCTCGCCTCTGGTCTGCATCCACCCGGCCATTGATTCCTTACTCAGCGATATGACGAATAGACTACATTTGCTTTGCATGACCTCCTTCGCCGTCGGCTGCCCGCCTCACATGCCGTTATGTGTCGCATGCTTGTTCCACGAAACGCAAGAGCCAATCGTCCAGCATTTGATATTGAAAGATGCCGATTCAGAAGCAGGCGGGGTCACCCGCAGTTTCGATGCAATCAGCCGTCCATACTCTTCCACTCTCTTCACACGCGTGTAACATGCGAGTGGAGCGGACATTCGGAAGTACTTCTTCAGGCACGCAAGAATGAAAGGGCATAACTGAGGGCACTAGCCGGTTGGTCTGAATATGTTCGACTAGCAATCAAGACCTGGCGGCCTTGCTGGGCTGTCTTCCGGGGAGATCGGCCTCAGCAGCACCGGCGAGTCGGCGACAACCCCCGTACGTTTCCGGATTCTTCTACGGCAAGGCGTCTCAAGGTTGAGTCCGTTTATACGGGCACGCGCGTGGCCAACGCCGATGAAATGCCAACGGGTGATTGATGCGTCAATGAGCACACCACGTTGTCTCCAACTACGCCCAAATTCCGTTGGTTTTCGTGTTCCTTTGTTCTAAACTAGCGAGTTCCTTGAATTGCTTGTCGCTGGCCGTGGCAATATTCGTGTTCTGCGTCACAGAAGCCAAATTGTGTATCAACGAGGCCATGGATTCAAGGTAGCGAACGCGGATACGGACGATCAATTCGTCCCAACCACCTGGAAACTTCGCACATACCCCAGAATGCAAGCAAGGAACTCCCACCCGAAAGCACAGTCCCACTCGCAGCATACCAATCAGATGCATGTTCATAACCGCTACGTCGTCTCTCGACCCACCGCAGCTTGTTCACTAATTCACTAATTACCAACATCAGAAGTGTTTTTGGGAGGCCAAACCTCGTCCACGACTGCGTAGTTGACGCGTATGCTTGTGCCCGAAGAGCGGCTACAACTAACATCTCGTCAACAAAACGATGTGTCACGTCAACCCACTGGCTTTGCAGTCACCTCTAGTAACCGGTGCGGTCAAATTGGTGGCTCCGCGCTGTTTCCTGTTTTAGAGAAAGTTCCAGAGAAAGAGGATTTCCGAATGTCAACAAGAATTCGATGTTCGAGACTCATCTCGCGTGTTGTCTCTGCCAAATGTGGGAAGCCTTGGCCGTGGTTACCGTTTTGGCTTGACCGCCAGCCTCTTGGAGGCTTAAAATAGCAGGATTGACCTTGGACGTTGCTCCGGATGGGAAATGAAAATACCCGCTTGTCCAGACGAAGCCCGAGATGGATGGAGCGGAGAGAGCAACTTCAAGGACAAGGTGGCACTTGGAGAACCAAGCCCCATCAATCTTCAGACGACCCGCTCAAGCTCGGTGAGCACTGTGGCACTGTCCAGGGGTTTCGGTTTGTTTTCTTTCATTCCTCCACTATTTGACTCACTGAAGAATGTTCGCCGTCAGGGGAGATGCGGGAAACCGCACGACGATGGAGACAGTACAGACAGGCTGGGTCTTCTTTCTGGTCTGGACTCGCCGCGTCGGCTACTCACCAGACTTGTGGCCAACTCCGACTCTTTATTCAGGGGCGACAGTTGGGGTCGTGGGCCAAGACGCAGGGCGAGCGCCGGGCCCCATATGAGTTTCGAGCGCAGATGAGCCGTGTGCTGAATTAACAAGTTGTCGGGGTTCCGATTCGAAATGGTATGCTGTGCTCCGTACGTCTCTTCTCCTGCGTCGTCCTTGCAGGGCAAGGCGAGCCCGGGCGGCCGCAGCCGGGGGAAAGTGTCTGTGCAACTGGCGCGGCCATTCGTTCTGCCTGACTGAGATTCAAGTCGGATTCACCGGGTGCCAAGGACGGTTACCAAACGTTCATTCAGTGAATAATCTGGGATGGTGAGCCTGGGAGGGGGTCGGGGATGTCCCACAAATGTCGACCTCGCCTCGTGCGTTGTGGGGGGCAACTGATGAGCAGAAAAGGGAACCAGTTGGATTCTCCATCACGTCGGAGACATCTGGCATGAGCCATGTGGATTCTGGACCGTTGCTGCAGCCTTGTCTTGGGATTCTCCGAGAGTTGTAGAGTTGAAGACTCCAGACTCCAGCGAGTCCAATGAGCGGTCGATCATTTGGTGGGAAAAGCTGAGAAAAGAGAAGATATTGCACCAAACTCGACCTCCAGCGAACTCCGAGTGGAGCAAAACGGCCGGGGGGGCAGCGGCGCCCAAGCTTTGCCGGCGATCGTCACAGGTTCAGATTCACGGTTGTACGGGAACCGGGGCCACCGCGAGCCCTGCACTTTTTCTCACCCGTCCACTAGGCCCTACCTGCCCTGTCCCCGTTTGGCCCAATGAAGTTTGCGAGGAGAAAAACTGCAGGGAGAGTCTGGGAGAGGATTGAGCTGGTTTTCAGCTTGTCCCGTCCAAGGTCCAGGGTCCCTGCCTGCGCTGGGCAGTGCCAGATGCCATGAGGTCATCAAAACCCCTGCTCTCCTTAATCTCTCCGCAACAGGTTCTTCCTGGTTACCAAGCGGGTTGAAACTCTTTTCGCAGTCCTTGTTCACCCTTTTCATTGCGGCTGGCAGCAAATGTCTAGTTTTCCAGTAGTCATCACTGGACGATGGTTCGGACAGACTTTCCAGTGAGCGTGCAGAGAGACATCACCAACAAAAAGTATTCGCTGACAAACTGTTGAACGTTACGAAATGTTTTCTTTTTAGCCCTCTCTTCTAGCGCCGAAAATTGTTCCAGAATAAAGGTAATTGTAACCCATCAAACCAGACTAAGACGCCCGCCAGCCGTAAAGTTTGCTGCACTACAGATATCGTACACGCTCAATGACGGCCCAATGAAACGCACATCATTCGCTCCCCGTTGAAAAAAGTTCGTGGTCCTCGTGGTCCTCATGGTCGAGGCACAGATGAGATCGTGCCCCGACTAAGATTTTAAGCTTCAGTCTAATCTCATTTTTTATGAGGCTGAAGTTTTTGTTTACAACTGCTTCTTCAACCCGCCGATGGAGCCAATGCCGTCTGCGACGTCGGCTGCCTGCTTGTTTCCCTTGAGTTGGTCTATGGCGCAGTAATCGTTAGCGGGCCGTGGAGACTTGTCAAACGGTTCTTTGGGGGGTTCTCGGCTCACCATCAACAAAGTCTTGTCCTGCCTTCATGCCCTGTGCCTGCATCTTCTTCTTTTCGGCCTCCGCCTTGGCCTTGAACATCATGATGCTGTTGTGCGCAAACGGGTGGTCAGCTTGAGGCTAAAAAAATTTGGAGACCTTATTTGTGAAGAAGGTTAAAACTCACCCGACTTGCTCGATGAGGGGGTCGAGCATGCCTTGCTGGTAGGCGAAGGTGCCCCCGAGGAAGACGGCGAGGATGATGGCGAGGGAGATGATGAGGGAGTTGGTGGTTGAGGTCTCCATTGTGAGTTAAGTTTTTGTTTTTGGTGGTGATATGTACTGTGTGCGTGGTGTGAACTGTGAAGGGGAGTGGGAAGACGATGTTGCGCAAAGCCGTTTATTGAATGATTTACAAGTGTAGAGATATCATGGGTTTTCAATTTCACTGTCCATTACTGCTCATTTATATCTTCAATCTTCAGGCATATCTCAATCCAGAAAACTTGATCTGGGCGCATAGCTTTCCTCTCACATGCAGGTTTGCGTGTGTGTAACGCCTGCTTTCTGTGCCTCTCTCTGTGTCTCTATCTTGCGCGCGTGGTACTGAATGTGAGTGAGCGAGGAGAGGGATCGGCAATGACGTCTCCCCATCCCCATTTTCATGCCGGCCTGCCTTGCGTGGGGTTGGCTACGCCGCATGGAAGGAGGGGCCAGAACGCGCAGCCGGGAAGATCAGGGTCTCTTGGTCGCAGACTTGCGTCAGAGGGCGGCGAGTTACAGCAGAAAGAGAAAAAAGACATCATTCTTTTGTTTCTTTCAGTGGACTTGGTGATGGAGGACTGAATGATGGAGACTTGATTGTTGGCCTTGGTACGGCCTTTTTTCCTCCTTCATCGTTCTATTCTCATGCAGGTTGCCGGCCGGGCAAATTGAGACTGGGGTCGTTACTGGTCGGTGGCTGAGTGTATTTCCAACGGGGGCCGAGACCACGACTTCCCCCGCAACCTCATTCTGCGTAACCTCAGTAGGTAAAATAGAGAGCTCTTTTCGGCTCCGAGGTCGTGCGGCGGTGTTATTTCCCGCCATTATGACTTCAGTGCTGGGGGTCTTCGTCGTACGAGTTGGCTCGGCTCAGGACAATGAGCGGTTAGGATAGAGGGGAGGGGAGGGGTGGTTGGTCTGCTTCCCCGGAGCTGGACTGGACCCTGGGCATGGCGAGGTTGGTTATCGATCTCATTGTGCATGAGATGTGAGGGTTCATGGCATTCGTCACTATATGGTGCCTCGAAGTATCCGGGGTGAGCTATTGCCTTCTGGCGGTCTTGTTCAGACCTTAGCATGGTCCGTAGCCGTTGATAACTCCTTTCCCCAGTCCATGGGCTCGGCAGTTGCGAGAATGTGAGGTCCTCATCTCGGAGGGGGTTGGCTAGGCTGGTTAAAGTGGTTGCAGTTGCAGGGGCTGCGTGTTATAGGGTGCTGGGTTTGTGTTATATGCCAACTTGTTACTATTAAACTACGCCGCCGCAATAGCCATGGTCGGGTATTTGTTCTAATGCGCCCCCTTTTGGCTTTTGGAGGCTGACTTGAAGGCTGAGATTAGCCGTCTGTTGCCGTTGAAGACTGTTCGAACGGCGAGCTGATATATGCCCGAGCATTATACCCTCCTCGGGTTGAGGCTTTCACGACCTCAGTTTGATAGGAAGGTCATGGTATGATGCGCTCTGTGATGTTGGGGTTTGCTCTAACAGTATTCTATCTTGATAGGGTTGAAACGACCTGGTATTAGCTGCATACTTATCACACCGTGTACCTTCTGGGCCTTGTTTCTTGGATGGTGACATTTCTTGCATGAAGTGAGAACTAGTTCTTTGCAGCTTTCTGACTTGGGATGTTGAAGAGCCGCTTACAGATACGATGAAGCTGTACTTATGGGCTCATTGGTAGTCCGGCATCCTTGGGAGACTTTGCATGCCACGAGTCTGTGGCTGAACATTTAAGCGACGAACAATCGTCTTTTGGGTCAGTGACTACTTGCCTCATCACAGATGTAATTCAACTTGATAGTAACACGCCGTTCAAGGGTGAGAGAGAGAAGAAGAAAGTGAAGAGATTTGGCCAAGGTATCAGCTTGAAGACATGTTCAAGTACGGAGTATAGCTCCCCTCAGCCATGCTCGTAAGTAGGCTGATGTCGTTCCCTGACTGTGCTCCAACTTTCTAGTCGTGACCAGTGCATACCTTGATGTTATTGTGCTTGCTGCACAATGGCAAATCACGCCAAGCTCGTTTTGTCTATTGTCGAAGTGGCCATAAGCTCGTGGAAATCGGGCCAACTACTTCTTTGATTGGAAAATATCTACAGATCAAGAGTTCGGTATTTTCGATTGGCCCTCACATCTCACTCATCAAGATATCTCACTGCCAGGCTGTTTTCTTCGCAACCAAGTTGTCCCGCGCAAGGCGTTCTGGTATAGAGTCTCCCTAGAGAACCGGAAGCCACCAGACGGGCTCACCTTCTCACACGAACTCTAGGTCCGTGATCCTCCTGTGTAGTGTTTCACCTACGAACTGGCAGTCTCCTTCTTGGCCGTGACCTCAATCTCAATCTTCATCACGTCTTCCATCAACGCCGCCTGGATCATGGTCGCCGCGGGGCGGACCTCGCCAAAGTACTTTTGAAGCACCGGCCAGGTCTTTTGAAAGTCGTTGCAGTCGGGGAGGATGTAGCGGACGCGCACGACGTCCTTGATCTCGGCGCCGGCCTCGGCGAGGGCGGCGGCGATGTTCTCCATCGTCTGCTCCGTCTGCTCGACAATGTTTGGGGATATGACACCTGTTGCGTAGTTGTAGCTGTGCCGTTGAACTAATTAGCATGTATGCCCAACTGTACATGGGCGTTTATAAACCATGATAAGAGTAGGTGGGCGGGGTGGTGGAGGGAGACACGGACCCCGTGGTTCCAGACACAAAGATGAGATCACCCGAGACCACCGCACGGGAGTAGCCGATTTGTGCCTCGAAGGCAGAACCTGAGCTGATGTTTCTTCGGGACATGATGGGCTGAAAGTAAGGCCGAGAAGGGGTTGAGGTGGATTGATTCAAGATGGTGTGGTTGTCAGGTGCAATTGTGGAAAGGAAAGGAAAGAGGATGTGGTGGGTTTGATATAAGAGGAAAGAGGTTGAGTCACTCGCAATATCTCAGGTATTCCCACATGTCAATCCCGCGATTTCTACAAGAAAAGATGAACTAAGCCAATCAGAACCTTCTGCGCAAGCCCGTAATGGCCGTATCGGGACATGGGCTGGGGATGGAAATGACCTTTGTACATGGTATTTAGAAAGACCGCCCAGCCTCAAAGCGAAGCGAACACAATCAAGACTGTATGAGACGCAACAGGTTTCGAGGCACGGCATACACAGTCTTCAAGGCGTTTGAAGTGCGCGAAAGGTTATTCGAGTACGATGCCGGTGTTGTTTACACGCACGATGAGTCAAGCAGCCATTTTGGGGTTACCTCTTTACGGATAGGCCAACGGGCGGGTCTCTTGGAGATAAGGTACACCTTAGGTGAAGCCATTCACCGAGCCAACTTGAGTACGAAGAAATAGAATATGGTGAGGGCGACCTTGCTAACTTCTTTTTCGATATCTATGGAAGTTTGGCGTATTGTAGTGAGCGTGTGTGAGAAAAAGTCTAAAAATCAAACGATGATAGGACGAGCGGGGAAAGACGACTTCGACTGAAGATTAGACGAGCTGCAGTTCGCCGCACTGTTCAAGATAGGCTAGATGCTGGAGACCACAATCCAGGTTGCCTTATTCACATCGATTTCTTCGGCCCTGCTTTGAGGTATTCAGGCAATGGTGACCTCATTGGAAATGTTGACGTCGGATCGTGCTCTGGGACGGTATGAAGGAAGGTACCTTTTTACCGATCGTTTTGGAAGGTACGAGCAGGCCATGACCTGCCTCCTTTTTCCCCAAATTGGTCATAACGATGTTCGTGACTGCCTTCCTTGACTGGAAACCATCTCGTCTACATGGTTCCTTCTAGAAAAGAGCTGGGAGGCAGGTACGTCGAACGGTGGCCTCATGTGCCATCACTTCCGGTCCCTACAACTGTCCCTCATGTCAGTCTCTTCCACAACGTCAGACCCAACTGCCCACCTCAGCATCTTCGTTCCAGTTCTTTCTGCAATCCCCTTGTTAAATCAAATACAAAGCAACCGATTTGCGAGCTATACACCGGGGATAATCTAGTTCAGCAAACAGTAAAAGGTAGAAGAGGCTTCGCAGTCCAACTGCCATCATGTCTGTCTCGCTGTCTTCGGAGTTATCGTCCCCGCCCTCTTTGACACAAGAATCTGCTCTCCACTCGGAATACGGTCCAGAAGAGGAGTCACAGACCCATAGCCAAGCTCAATCCAAGCCCAAGACAAAATCTGCGCCCAAAAAGTCACCATTCCTCAAGTATCCGGCCGACATCCAGCGCCTCACCCGCCACGGTCTTTGCACCTATGGCATCAACACAGGGCCAGTGCCAGATGACACGGATTGGGCCAAGCTGACTGTTCCTATGCTCAAGGAGCAGCTCGCCATGCGTGAGATGCTGGACGATGGGAAGAAGAGTGTTCTCGTCGAGAGGCTCGAGAACTTAAGCACGTACAAGCCTAAGGTCGTAACTATCAGAGACGCTCCTGACGACAAGCCATTCGGCCCTATCTCCAAGAACACCAGCAGCAACGGCGAGAAGCGCTTCTTTGTTGACACAGCTGACAAGAGCCACGTTGGTTCTGTCAAGAAAGCGATGAAGGAAGACATGTTTGTGATCAAGCAGTCCAACGATTTCGATGGTGGAGTCAGCATCAGCATCCGTGGGACCGGACCCGATACATACGAGGTCACTATTGGAGCAAAGACATCGTGCACCTGCTCGAGCATAGTGGGTAACGCCGAAGCATCATCAAACAATTGCTAACCTTAACTAGATGTTCAGACCTCGCAGCAACTGCAAACACATAATCTGTCAGCGGAAATGCTACCTTTCTCTCTCTCATCCCATTACTGACGAAATCGCAGACGTCCTGACGCATGTTTTCCGGGCACCAGCAGAGCTACTCCCACAGAGAACGCTCTTTTCCGAAGAGATCGAGAGGCTCATCGAGCGTGCCCCTAAAGTCCGCTTCACAGCAGCGGAGGCCAGCCAACACCCCTCTATGTCGGACGGTATTGCGAAGTCCAAGGACGACAAGTCCTGCCCCGTCTGCTTCAAGGACATTGGCGAGGCAGAAACGGTGTGCTGCACTAAGTGCGGTAACCACACACACTCATCCTGCTTCGACGTGTATGCGCACCAGCAAACCGGATGGGCCCTCACGTGTGCTGTCTGTCAGGCTGGCTGGTCGAACTTGGTTGTCTAGGACCAAGATGGCAGTTCTTGAACAAGGAATCTGGAAGGGCGTGGTTGCTATGAGACATGAATATGGAAGGTGTGTGACTGGTTTCGAAAGATCAGTCGGCAGAAGGCTTGACGGCGCAACCGGCTCAACAATCATTTGCGGTGGAGGGGGAAGCTAACTCTCCGGAATATTGTGGTAGGACTTGACAGGCTTGAAATGTCAATGAAGACGCATCTCAGATGTACTTTATCATCACTATAAAACTTCGGCCCACGGAATGTCAATGAACATGGATGACAGTGTTGATTGACTCTTCCTCGTGATGGGAATGGATTCATACGAGCCATGTCAAGCTTTAATGAGGTTCGCATTAGTTCTCTTTACCTAACCTTCACCACATCGTTGCTAGGCTGTATCACCTCTCATATACGGTCTTGGTCTTCTTTCTGTTATTGAGGCGGTCAATTGCTCGGGATTCTGGTTGATGCTGTCCTACTATGTACTTAGAGACGGGCCACGTACAGTCTTCGCAGTTTGATCGCGCTATAACCACATTTTATCATACTCTGCTTGATCAGCTCCCCTGCACGCTAAAAGATGATCCGCCTACTCTTCATCCAAATTTACATCGTACTTCTCAAGTAGACTCCTGAAAACCCGTTCTTTCTCATCCCCTTTCGCCTTTTTGATGACTGAATTCCCATCATCATCAAAACTGTCTCTTACTCCTGCTTTCAGAAGCATCTCAGTGATTTCTTCATTCCCGTAAAGAATAGACTCATGGAGTAGGCTCATCCCATTCCTACTCCTGCTTGTCAAGCTGACGCCGTGCTTGATCAGAACTTCAACGACACCCGCGTGACTCCCTCTGATGGCCGAAAGCACGAGCGAGTTTCCTTGCCATATCTGGTTTACTTCGGCCGTGGTATGTTCGAGAAGCCATTGGACAACTTCATCTTGCCCATTTTCGACTGCGCAACACAGTGATGTCAGCCCGTGTCGGTCTGAAGTATTCACCACAGCGGGATTCTTCTGGCACATCAATTGTACGACATCGAGAGACCCCTCCCAAGCAGCTTGATGCAGAGGTATCCTCCATTGCCGGTCCCTGACCATGACGTCAGCATCATTATTGACAAGCCATATTACTGTCTTCCAATTCCCCGAGATCACTGCTAGGTGCAAAACTGTTCTTCCTTCCCTATCTCGCAATGCTCTTTTCGCAGTTTCCCACAAATATTCAACCGCGGCTCGTTCCCCGTAGAATGCAGCCCAGTGAAGCGCTGTTTTCCCCCTGGCGTCAATAATGTTAACATTTGCACCTGTGTCTGTCAACAACTTGACTGCCTCTACGAATCCTGTCATTGCGGCACAGTGTATCGGTGCGACCCCATCTCTGCCTTGCGCGTCGATGTTCGCGCCCTCATCTATGAGCCTACGGATAACCGAATAGAAACTACTCCACGAGATTTTCTGCCGGCTTGAAACACCATGACCAACCTCTTCGTGTGGCTCTTTCCTATACTGACAAGCATAGTGCAATGGCGTCCATTCAACCAAGTCTCGCGCGTTGACGTTGACATCTTTCCGATTCGTTATTATCAACTCATCAAGGAGACTGTATTGATATATCCCGTAATGCGCCGGTGTCCAACCAAGAATATCTTTTGCGTTAACGTCTTCCCCACGACGTATTGCATTCATGAAGCGATTGTGATCTTCAGTCCAGACTGCTTCGTGCAGGTCTGTATGGCGGAGCTTTTTATGATATCTGTAAGTACTTTTGCTGCACCCGCTGTTGTTTCCGCTCACTAATGTAGAGTCTTCAACGAGGTTGCACTGCCAAGGGCGCCTCTGATCCTCGTACAGTTTTAGGATGGCTAATACGGTCGATGCAACTTCGAGCGGTCCATGGAATTTGGAACGAATCTCGTTCTCGAGATCTCTCTGCAACGAATACATGATCCTCATGAAATCCAATGCATAATGATATCGTGCGTTGAACTGTATCTGTTCACGGCTCAAGTACAAGGCCAAGCCTACCTGCCTCAGGAAATCCACAATTCTGACTGTCGCTAGAGTGGATAGTTCATTTTCAACGGGGAATGTCATGGCGACGCGGAATAGCCACAAGTATACCGCTCCCGCCTGCGGCCAATGCTGCTGCCTCTCGTGATATCGGGCATTCTCTGCCGCCAAGTCGACAATGAGAGAAACCTCGGGAAGCTTGCTTTCCACGCTAAGCGCCGGAATAATGCTCAGGTAAGCGTCACTGAGATTACCGAGTCCAATGTCTTCGATATTCTTCGCCAGCTTTGAAAGCTGGTCGTTATGGAGGCCGAAAGACTTCCAGTTTGTACTGGCCTTTGCTTTATGTTTTGAACGTGTTTCCACGGGGCCTTCAAGAGGCTCTTTAAGGGTCATCGCTGCAGCCCTGAAAAAGCTCGAGAAGATATCCTGCGCATACAGCAACTTCAAGGGACCGTGGAACTCGGCGACCAAGACGTCATGGCTGGAGTTGCTACCCTCTGTCTCGAGGGAAGTCTTCAGTGTTTTTTTCTTGTCTCTTCTTTCGTATATTTAAGGGTACCAGTCGATTTGAGAGTCGTCCTTATGTCGCTCCACGTTGACTCTGAATTCGGGCAACTCTTCTACACCAAACTGCCGACGATCGATCTCGGATCCACCAAGCCCAACAACTCTATAGTTTCCCTTGCATGTTTCATCAGTCGTAATGCCACGCTTTGGGAGATTTGTCAATCTTGACAATCTTTTAATCTTAGCTGTCTCGCTGGGCATCCACCACGAGAGGTCCCGATGCAAACTCTCCGTGTAGGAGCCTAGAACACGCAAACCAGGCCTCGAAGGCGATCCTTTAACGCGAAGCCACTTGTCGTCTTTCTTGTCTCCCACTATGTCCTGGTGGTTTATCTCTTCGTTCTTCTCAAGCTCATCAACGGAGAAAAGCCACATCGACAAGGCTGCTTCAAGCTCATCAGCATGAGCATTCCATTTCCCTTCTGACCGGTTCAATCGAAAATAGATGAGCTCTTCCCCATGAGCTGCCAGAGACCAGGTAAAATTACTTTGCTCCGAATCCCGGAAAAGTGTGTTCATTGTAGTCTCAATGGACCGTGCAAGAGAGACAGCTTCCGTGGACGCAGGCCCCTGCCAGCTTGTCAGCTGGGCTAGGTCTCTCCTGATCATGACAACACGATGTGCGGTCGAAACTGTCAAACTTTCTTGCGGAACACCTTCTTCGAATTCTTTGACGTGCGCTTGCAAACTTTTGATACTCCATTCTTGAGTTTTGTATTTGGCGCCAGGCATCCATGGGCTATTCGGGATGTCCGCAAACGTCGTTGCAAACCAATCGAGTTCGAAGCTCGGCCGAGTTTGAAGAGATCTTGGTGGGTTTGCTAGACCCCGCCGAACCCAGGCTCTTACACCAGCCATCAGGAGGATAGCGCCTAGCTGTGCAATCGATACTGACCAGTGTAGCCCGCGCAGGCCACAGAACTGCACGATGTATCCACACATACTGACAACTGTTCCAATGCTAGTTTCCAACTCCAAAGAGATCCCAGGTTTTTCGTTCACAGGAGCGATTGCTGACATGACTCCTTGGTTCAAAGGAGGCCCTGGAGGCTTTCTCTCACCGCGCCTGCGTTCCGATGTTGTGATGAAAGGCCGTTTGGTTTTCGCATAGATTGCGAACGAGTCGAATACCTGATCACTAACCGTTTTGGTTTGCTGTAGCCAGACCAACTGCGCCGTCAATTTGCGAGAGGGCCGAAATACCTCTTCGATAGTGCTACTCTCGACAACGTGGCCACAAAGGATAAGGCCAACAACCAGCAGAAGCGTCCCCACCCAATGGCATGGAAACGCGTACTGGGCGACTGGCTCTCCATCTTTGAGAAAACCTAATGATGGGTAATGTACGGAGCATCCGGCGTATGCCACAAGTCCTAGCTGGAGCACAATCCCCCATACCGCTGCTATGCGTAATTCGGCTCTGCTTGTGATGTTATGAGAGTTGAGCGTGATGTTTGGCGAGCTCTTCCGTGGGTTTCGTGTGATAATGATGCGTGGCTTCGGTGTGTTTGTCGAGTGTGATGATTTCTCCCTGTCTTGCTCTGTGGAAGTCGAAAAATTCAACGACATTGCCTTGCGAAGGAGATTGGCCGAGGATTCTTTCTCTGATACGAGAGTGAGAGCTTGCACACTGAAGCCGCTTGAGGAACTCACCAGTAAAATATTCATTCTTGGCCTTTTCGAAAGGTATCACCTCCACTTGAACACCATCCATTACTCCAGACTTAGGCAGTAAGCAGATAAACTCTGCAACTGGAGCCGACCCCATACACCTCACGACCTCATGACCGTTCCAGAGCTCGCAGACCTCTGTTGAGGTAGATGACATTAGTTCTTGTTCGGCAACAGCGAGATTCTCTCTAGCTCTGCCAATAAGAGCTTTCAGGAATCCGGGCCCCCCGACTCTGATTGCGCTAATCATGATGGTGATAATTCCTATAGGCACCATGGCCAGAAGAATATATCAGCCCAACCTAGTGATTGACTCATGAACTGCATAGTGACCCTCTCTCCAAATAGGGCGAGCAACCTTTTATTATGCAGTCTATTAGTTTACATGCTTTCTGCCTAGGGTAAAAGACCCGAGGGTACGAGACTCACGGTGCTAGGTCCGAGAACAGATTATTGACGAAGTCGTCTCCATCATCTGCTGTAACGCTCGCAGCAAAAATGACCGTGAGCAGAAAGGCTCGGATCATCTTTGCTGCCATTTTTCCACATTCGTGTGCAATAAAATGCCGAGTTTGTGTTGTTGTTCCGCCGGCAATATTGAGAATATGCCTCTTAGTGTTTGCTAGACGCTGGATGTCAAGAATATACGTATACTGGCTTGGTCGTCTGAAGAAGAATGGCTGAGCAAAGCATCCGCTGGGAACTTCTTATTTTCAGCTGAAGGAAGACGAATTTCAAGATGTGGGTGCGAAGATTTCTATCATTTGTGATTGCCTAATGTATCGACCTACAGGCAATATGCTTATGCAGTAGGCCCCATTTCAGCTGAGCGGTTCGCCTAGTCTTGAGGCCATTGACACGTATCATAGCTGAGATATCTCTAATTGGTGTATGATCTTCCCGACTGGCGGCTATACGGTCGTAAACGCGGCCGATCACCTTAATGTGGTGGCAGTTCCACCTTTTTCGCTGCGCAACTGCACAAGAGGAGAAGTGAAAATTCGCCAAGCCGCTCCAGGACATGACAACTACTGGCCCTTGTAGGCGTCATTTCGACAATAATGAGTTCCCCAGACACGGCTTGCATCAGACAAAAGAGGCAACGAGGGCGCCAGCGCCGAACATGGAGGCAACTGTGATGAAGCTGGCAGTTGAGAAGAGGGAAATGCCGCTGAGTCCGTGTCCAGAAGTGCAACCCCCACCGATTCTCGATCCAAGACCAATAAGAAAACCTCCTACCACCGCCAGCTGTGGCGAGACAGCCGTATCAGCGGCACCAAGGGCAAACTCGGGGTATGCTGTCGCGACAGCCCACGCGCCGGCAGCCAAGCTCGCAGAGAAGAGAATGTTGCTATACGACGGCTTCCCCTTTTCGCCGCCGCCCTGGACCGCCCACCAGAAGTACCGTCCAATTTCGTCGTAGGAAGTCGACACACCGAGCATGGACTTGCGGGAGAGCAGCGAGAGAAGCTGCGCCAGACCGATCAGGAGTCCGCCGATGGTGGGAGCGACGACGGCGTAGGGGCTGGCGGGAGTATACTTCATGCTGGCGTAGATGACGCCCGCGAAAAGGGCCTCCACGCCGACGAAAGCGACGGCTCTGCTCAGACCGGCACGCTCGTGGACTGTGAGCTTGGGGTTCTCGGGCGGTGCCGAGCTGGCGTTGCTGGTGAGGAGTTTCTGAAGGAAGCCGGTCCACATGATGCCGGCTAAGATGGCGCCGCCGAGGACGTAGACGCCGGATTTGGTGCCGACGGCGATCTGGGCAAGGACAGTGCCGGGGCAGGACCCGGAGATGGCCATGCCGGCGCCGAGAATGGAGCCGCCGAGGATGTTACCGTCGTACTGGGAGAAGAGGCCTAGACGTGAGGGGCTGCGGGGCTTGGGGCGGACGTAGCCCGCCTGGTCCAGTACGAGGACGAAGACGCTGTATATCGTGTCAGTTGTGTGAGAGGATCAGAGGGAAGCAGTTGCTGTGATGGTTGAACGTACGTGCTGCTTGCTGCGGCTGCGAGGAAGGCCTGGATCATGTGCCAGTTCTCGAACTTGAGCTGGGCGATGATGACTGAGGGCTGGTAGACGCCTGCCGCTACCAAGGCGGCGCCGAAAGCGGCGCCAGAGAGAGCCGTTGTTGCCATGGCTTGGTCGGCTGTGGATGTGTGAGTGAGTGTGTGTGTATGTGTGCGTGTGTTTCTGTCCCGCGGGAGCGTTCTGGGACGAACTGCTGCAAGCTGGGAGTTTGGTGGGTGTGTGTTGTATATATGAGAGGTTTTCTCTTCTATGACTGGTTAAGCGAGGATGAGGTGGTGATGCGTGGTGGAAGTTCAAAATCTTCCAACTCTTCGAGCTGTCTCGGGACGAACTTATACAGTCCAAAGCCAAAACTACCACAGAAGAGTTCAAACGTCTGGGAAGATTATCGAATTTGCCAAGTTCTCGGGTCTGCTTAGTGAATCAAGCCCGAAAGCCCAGATACGTTCGGGGACTTGAAGAGAGAGGGAAAAATGGACCGGTAGCGGGGCCCTTGGTTAATAATCCTTCCCCCATAGTCAAAGGCCGAAGAGTGAAGAGGGCCAACCCCTGTAGAGCCTCTACCCGCCTTGGTCAGGTAAATGGTAATGGGAAGACCCCATTCTGTACTCTGTTCCTGAGGCCGAGCCAAGCGTCTGGGTTGAGTTTTGTCAAAGGCGGTTTAGAGTGCAAGTGACGGATGGCTAGTGGCGTTGATTCTTAGACCTTGTTCCCTTTTCGGATAGCAATGACGCCTTTTGGGAGCTAACTCACGACATAGCGCTAGCTTGTTTCTAGTCCTCTGGAAATGTGTATCCGAAGTTTCCTTCGTGGTGTGAGAGAAGCTACTTTCTCTCAAAGAGTATGGCAGTTCGATTTGCACGCATTTCAGATCCCCGATGAGATAAAGATGCATCTTCAAGAACAGGTGATGCAGGTGGTGCGTGCGCCATTGTGGAAAGTCGGCAGTTCAGGGACCATGAAGTCCGTCAGCAAAGGATTGATTGGGCAGAGCAAGGTGTCCGAATAAGGGGGGATCAATAAGGTTGCAGGAAATCATTTGAATCCCGTCCCAGGATGGTCCTGGGTCCCGAACCCGAATCCGCAAGGGTTGTTGTCTCTCTCAGCCAAAGGGCCTGGGAGAGGACGGCGACCACTTTGAAGAAACGGTCGCCGACGTCGGGGAACTGCCGGAACGCACGGGCATCACCGAGAGTGGATACCCCTTCTTCACCGGGATGGATTACATCTCTCGGGGGCTTCCGTAAGCTTGAGCTTCTTTCGGTGACTACTACTGTGACCGAGGGACTTCATGCTTTCTAGATTACGGGTTCATGGACGGCGAGGATTAAGTGAGATGTTTCAAGAGTTTGGATATAAGAGTTGAACAAGTGACCATATTGTAAATCCTTCATCTTGAGGCTACATTATTAGCAAAAACACCAAAACTAACCGATGAACCGGATCAACCAGTTGCGAGAACATATCCACAACGCCTCAACTACACACTCAAACATGGCTCAAGAACCCATAATCCACGAGATCTTTGAACCAGTCACAGGCACGTGGCAGTACATCGTAGCAGACCCTTCAACCAAAGCCGCAGTGATCATCGACTCCGTCCTGGATTTTGATCCAGCAAAGAACGCCATCTCTACACAAACAGCCGACGGCCTTCTCGACGTGGTAAAAGAGAATGGCTACAATGTTGTCAATATCCTAGAGACACACGTCCACGCCGACCACTTGACGGCATCCAAGTATTTACAGTCTCGGCTGCGGGAGGCACAGGACGGCGCCGCCCCCAAGATCTGTATCGGCAGGCGGATCGGGGTCGTGCAGGAGAGGTTCGCTGAGAAGTATGGCATCTCCAAAGACGAATACGCCAATGCCTTTGACCGACTGCTCGACGACGACGAAGTCTTCGAGATTGGAGACCTCAGGGCCAAGGCCATTCACCTGCCGGGCCATACCCCCGACCATATGGGCTACATGATCGGAGGTGAGTACTTCCCCATAAGCAGTCACGAAGAACTATCAGACCCATACTGACCATCACTTCCAATAGCAAACGTCTTTGCGGGCGACTCCCTCTTCAATCACGATGTCGGGTCCGCGCGATGCGACTTCCCCGGCGGCAACGCCAGGGACCTCTTTGCGTCAGTACGCCGGCTGCTAGATCTGCCAGAGACCACCAAGATCTGGACGGGTCATGATTACCCGCCGGCCAACCGCGGACCCCTGGCGGCAACGGAGGTGTCGAAGCAAAAGACGGAGAACAAGCACCTCGCGCAGAACGTGACGGAGGAGGACTTTGTCAAGTGGCGCGAGGAGAGGGACTCGGGGCTCGGGGAGCCTAGGCTCATGCACTGGGCGCTGCAGGTCAACGTGAGGGCTGGAAACATGCCGAGCCCCACCAAGGCTGGAGATCGGTTGTTGCATGTGCCTGTCAAGATGCAGGGCGTGACTTGGTGAAGTGGGAGTTCATGTCGTTAAGGTAGTGAGAGCGTGGAAAGGAGATTGTTTTGACTCCCGTGTATATGAGATGAGGGACGTGGAATCGTCCATTGTATACTTAGTTACCTCCGGCCACGGTTATGAATGAACTAAGGCAAGTCGTCTTCGACAGTCAGTCTTCCTATTTCGCAAATGTACATGAAGTTATCACCAAGATCGAAAGGGGTAGAGAGCATGTAAGTGTTGGTGTTCCTGACAAGGTACATTACGTCGGTTGGCCCATGCGTTGCAGCCCCCCGCGCCACCGCCGCGTGGGGAAAGTGCCGAGGTCTCATCACTGAATGCGGGGAGTTCGGCCCCGGCTGAGTGGAGGGACAGGAGGCCGGGGACGTTTACTCCCCTACCAAATCACAACGTCAACATCGGCAGCGACCCGGTATATCATATTATTAATCTTGCTCGGTTCACTCTTTGCTGTTCACATAAGACCTGGCGTGGCCCCCGTTTCACTGAATTTGCGACACTGCATTGGATATCTACAGTATCAGTGCCGGTATATTGCATTTATACCATGCCTCACTCTATCACCGTCAAAAAGGTCGAGGGGAAGCCCGGAAAGGTGTACTATCCGTAAGAAATCTATTCTCATTGTTTACGATATTACCGTAATTAATCCAAATCTCAGCCTCCAACTCAATGAAGTCCCAAAGCCGACCCCGGGGCCCAAGGATGTCTTGGTGCGATTAACGGCCGCTGCTCTCAACCACCGCGATCTCTTCATCAGACGTCACCTTTACCCAGGCATCTCATTTGACCACCCTCTCATGGCAGACGGATACGGCATCGTAGTCGAAGTCGGAAAGGACGCAGACAGAAGCCTTCTCAATAAGCCAGTTCTCATCACACCCAGCCGCGGCTGGGCCTCGAGCCCAGACGGACCAGAAGACATTCGCAAATTCAGTGTCATCGGCGCCACCCAGACGTATCCGGACGGCACCGCGCAAGATTACCTCGCCCTGCCCCAAGACGAGGTCGAGCTGGCCCCGGAGCACCTCACACCCGCCGAGGGCGCCGCCCTACCCCTCGTCGGGCTCACGGGCTGGCGTGCGCTCGTGACGAAGAGCGGAAACGCGGAGAAGGGCAGAAACATCCTCGTCACGGGCATCGGTGGCGGCGTGGCGCTCCAGGTCCTCCAGTTCGCCGTCGCGTTCGGCTGCAACGTCTACGTCACCTCTGGCGACGAGGCCAAGATTGAAAAGGCCAAGAGCATGGGCGCCGCTGGGGGCGTAAACTACAAGAAGAAGGGGTGGGAAAAGGAGCTGCAGGCCCAGCTGCCCAAGTCGCGACCGTACCTCGACGCCGTGGTCGACGGTGCCGGCGGGGAGATTGTGGGAAAGGCGGTGAAGGTGCTCAAGCCCGGCGGTGTCATTAGCCAGTACGGCATGACGGTGTCGCCGCAGATGGACTGGCTGATGCAGGCTGTCCTCAAGAACGTGGAGCTCAAGGGCACGACTATGGGTTCGCGAGAGGAGTTTAGGGACATGGTTGCCTTTGTGAGGGAGAAGAAGATTAAGCCTGTTGTCAGCCGAACGGTCAAGGGCCTGACGAACTTGGAGGGCATTGATGGGCTTTTCAAGGATATGGAAGCGGGCAAGCAGTTTGGCAAACTTGTGGTTGAGTTTGAGGAGCCCTCTGCGTCGCCTAAGCTGTAAGGGGGAACTTTGTGTTCCAATGTACGACATGGTACATATAGAGTATCATTGATTGAAGCGAGGATTTCTCTGAATTTAATAAACTTAAACAGGAAATCAAAGTGTTCTTACTCAAGGAAATCGTTGTTCTCCGTACAAAATGGTTCCATTCGGTTGACCATTGACCGCTATCTCAGAGACTGCTCAGTCAACTTGTACGTCAATTCCGTATAGGGGCTAGTTGAGCAAGCCTGTTGTGTCCTCTAATGTCTCAGTCAAACGTGTAGCCTCGAGATGCTGTCTTCAGCAGGGCCTACGTTCTCGAGAGGCATAGCTACTATCTACCCAGAGGATTTGCCTAGAGATGTGTTTGCGCCTTCTCATTGTCTTTCAAGAGAGGTCACACAAACACAAACTCTGCCATGGGCTCTTTCAAACACCCTTCGGTACTTGCTTGGGTCGTGCCTTCCCTATTCGGTTTCTCCAGTCTGTTCTGCCATCTCACTCTTGGCATAGGCTTCTTAATCAAACCAAGTGTAAGTAAGTGAATATACACAGGTGCTAGGTGCCCCTGGAAGTGCTGAGTATTCACCTCCAAACCTGGCCACTGACTTCTTTCTGTCCACCCTTCCCTCTTTCCTTACTTTGGGTAAAGGGCCCATCTTGGTGGTATTTCTCTCCGTTCTCTAAGCTTCTTCTTTCATCTACAACAAAGGGGAAGAGAATCCTGTCTCTCCCTCACCCATCTCAACCACAGCAACACATCAAGCTTTGATACAGCTTACGCAACCCTCTCACGATGTGGCATAAAGCCATGTTCGTTGTCACGGCGATGGCCTTAATCTTCCTTGCCAGCGTCAATGTCGGCGCTGCTGCAGGCGAAGTTGCAGACCACAACACCATTGAGGTTTCCACAGAAGCCACCTTCAGCAACGGTCTTTCCAAACGTAACTTCTCCATCGGCCCTCACCTTGCTCCCAGAGACTTCCCTCACGACAACCCCCTCAACATCACCGAAGAGGAGGCCCTCAAGCACGGCCACAAGGTCATCCCCGTCAACAAAGAGATCTGGGCCCATCTCGTCAAGACCGCCGGCCTCGACCGCAAGCGCGAGACCATCGAGTACAACCCTGAGCAGCGCCACGAATCTCTCTCTAGCATCGGCAAGCGAGTCCCAAGATGCGGTGAGAACTACGACCTCGAGAAGGAACCTCCTGACCCGCAAAACTGGTGCACTCCAAGCCCGATTGTCGGCGACTGCCAGCTCGGTATCTGGTGCCAGGCCGACTGGCCGGGCTGGAGACAGTGGCCTAGTCGCGGCTGGGTCTTCAACAACGCCTGCCAGCTTTTCGGAGAGAACGTGCCTTTTCAATGGGGCGACTGGCAGCCGATTTGCAGCCCCCTTCCCTATGTCACTCTCTTCTTCGCCCACAAGGACCGCTGGCCTCACATGGCGTAAGTATCATCCTCTCAGAACTTTGTATCGTTTCTTGTTGGATGAAGACTAACACAGTCTACTCTAGGTACGGTGGCAAATACTACAACAGCTACGCCCCCGGATGGGAAATTTACTATCCCGAATCGCCGGAGGGTGGACCTTTCCCGGCTAGCTACTACTATCATCGTACCTTTGACTGTTCTATGAAGCCGAAGAACTAAGGCCAGATCGGTACAGGTGCCTGAAAGGGCAGTTGAATACTGGAAATTGTTCCTCTGCATGATCGATGCTTCGATCGCACGCCTTCGGTAATGAGAGGAATGGGTACAGTGGCTTCAAAGAAATAGAACTTGCCTGAGAAATGCCGAGGTTGGAAATTGAGAAATTCCTGGGTCACCCAGCTTAGGTAGCGAACACCATCTTAGTTTCTCAAGACAATTGCATTAGACATCGTGACTTTTCCCTATATTGACATTTCGCTTTTGATTTACAACCCTTCAGGTGGTGTAGTCTGAGGGGATCGCCGACATGTCAGAAGACTCTTGAACTCTTAATGGAAGGGTATCTTGAGTGAGCTAACACCTCACCTACATACGTGGCGACCCCTTTTCTGCAAAGATGCAACAGACACCTGCTCCAGTCTACACAGTTTCTTCCGCCTTCTCTCTGTCCGAAATCCGTGTCACCCCTCACTCGTCGTCCTCGCTCTTCTTTCTCTTCTTCCTCTTGTGGCCGAGCTCTTCGGGGGGTATAAAGTCCTTTTCCCTCTCGCGCAACTTCTCCTCCTTCTTCTGCTTCTGCTGCTCCAAGCGCTCGGCCTGCGCGGCCTTGTTCTTGGCCTCCTTGCCCAAAAAGTACTCGCCCGTCTCGATCTGCTTGTCGACCTTGCTCTTCTCTGGCGCGGGCGGGAAGGGCGTGTAGACCTTCTTGGTCTTGTCCGTGACGTTGTGCGGCACGCGGCGGCGGCTGAGCGACTTCTTCTTGAAATTAGGCAGGAAGCGGTCCCAGCTCTCCTCGGCGAGCTCCGGGTCCTTTGCGAGCTCGCGCTTGATCATGAGCTCCTTGACGTGGTAGATGGGGTGGATGTTCTCCATGCAGTCCTGGACAACGCGGCGCACCTCCTTGAGGCCCTTGTAGGGGCCCATGACGGAGACGGTGCTGCCCTGCACGAGGATGTAGGTCTGGGTGAGCAGCTCGAGGGCCTTGAGGGTCGAGCCGTTGGGGCCGAGGATGCGCTGGCGGCGCTTGACGTAGCGCTCCTTGTTGCGGACCAGGTTGCGGATCTTGATGATGTCGCATGCGACGCCGTCGTCGAGAATCTTGAGAGCCTGCGGCGCGGGGACGCTTCGGGCCAGGAGCTTGATGAGGTCGCGGGCGTTGAGAATGGCGGCGGGGTCAAATGTTTTTCTGAAGGCGGAGAGCAGCATGTTAGTTACTGTGGTGGAGTGGGCTGAGCATTGAGGAAGAAGATTGCAAATTGAATTACGAACCTTGTAGTCTTGACGGTCATTGAACCCTCAATCAAGTCGAGCGAGCAAGCGATGCCCGTCTTCTCGAGAGCCTTTGTGACGAGGGGCCATGCCTCCTTGAGGTACACTTCGCGGTACTTGGGGAAAACGATCTGGAAGGAGGATTCCTCAGCAAATGTGCCGCCGGCGTTGTCGGCCGGTGTGAAGGCGTCGATTTTCCATTTGTCGATGTCGTCCGTGTCCCACGGCTTGTCCTTCTTGTATGTGGAGGGCATCTTGTCGGTTGTCGCGTGTTTGCAAGACAATGGAATTGACGCCGAATTGTATACGAGAAAAGTTTCGTAGTTACTTACTGGTGGCTGCGGCGAACTTTTTCTTATCGATAACGTTGGAGACGGCACGTGGGGTACACCGGTTTTTATGGGCCCAGTACGGCATCTTCAAGGTGAAGCCGGCCCAGTTCACGTTGTGGGAGACCAGTGACGGTATCAATGGTAATGGTTTTGACCTTGACAACTTATGCGATTTGTATGCAACTACGAGTTAGGAGTATTTCGGGAATGCGCATTGGGACATCGTTTCAATCAGTCAATAGCTACTGCTTTCAAAGTTGTTGCTTAGTTGCGAACCCTTAGATTTGCGTGAGAGCCACAACTGAATAACGTTAGGATTTTGGTGAGGACTGTTTTGGCATGTCATTCTGAATAGCAAATTTATCCGAGCAGAGTGATCGATTGCTCGTATGTGTCCAAGTTTTCGAGGTTTTCTCACCGACGATCCGAATCGGGAATCTGCAAAGCGTATCCATACCACCCTAAGGTACCTTAAGAGTCGGCGTCACCGTGAGACCTTCATATCAGATAACAGCGAACCTTCTTTCAGCGCTTATGCGTGCGGGTACTGGGGCCGTTGCGACCCCCCAAGTATTACCTACTCTTTCTGATGATCAGGGAGAGAAAACTTCAAGATCCTGACACATCAACACAGCGCGTGCTGTAAGGCTGAATGGGGTAGCCGATCCAATCAAATCGTGGCTTCCGTAATACGGTCCAGTGGGACAACCAGCTGGGTAATCAGTATCGCCGATAGGCCCAGTTGGCAGTTATCGCGTCCCGTCCATCCCCATCCCCAGTAAATTTGGCCCTCCATCCTGACCGATTAAGGGGATGCGGGATGCAATCAATTCGTTCGCCATTCCATCTATTCTCCCCTATTCCAAAAGTCAACCAGCTTTTGTATCCAACGTGCCTTCGTAATGTTTGAGACCTGGCTGTAGCTTTACCTTGTAACCTTAGTTTCCTCCCCGCAATTCTGTCCGAGGGAACGTACCTGTCTCCCCCCTCCAACTCAACCATTTGCTCCTTTCTGAGTCGCCTCCAGCGCGTCTTCCCGCTGAACAATTTTTTTTTTCGCACTCCTGCGTATTTGCACCTGCCATCTACCACCCAAGGCCTCACTACACACAAACATACACGTTTCGCAACCTCGACCTCGCGCCTCGACCTGAAATCTCCTCGCAAGCCACTTTTTTGAGCCCTTCACGTGGGTCTCTCTTGCGAAAAACTTGCGACTGCACCACACGCGCGCCTTGCGATCGCGAAGCGGCATTCGATAGCCTCCCTCCTTCGACATAGTCCTCCCGTCCGCGACGAATTCGCTGCAACCGCCATCCTGGCTGCCGTTCGAGAGCCTTCTGCGCCTGCTCCGGCATTGGACAACATTACAGAGCACGAGCACGATCACGACCTTCCCTCCTTTCGAGACGTCATGGAGGAAGCCACGGCTCTGGCCACCCTTGCGTTGCCGCAAACGAACCTCGAGACGATCTCGCGGCCCAGTTCCACATCGACGTCGGAATCCGCATCCGCAGCCGCAGTTGTAGCCGCGGCCTCGACGGTTCCTCAGTTGCCAGGCATTTCAGCCCTTGCCCAGGCCAACAACTCTGCGACGAGCTCGCCTCAGATGCGGTACGTGAGTATGCTTGGTGTCAGGAGAAGAGACGAAGAATGCGCAGAGGGACATGATGATGGGCGATCAGGTTGATGGCCACAATTCACTTGCGCTACTACTCTCGCGCTCGCCGTATAACCTTGAAGCCATTCCGGCGACAAACAAGGCGATGCAGCCATTGCTCTCCATCGAGAGATCTCCCTCTGCTGCTATATCATTGGCTAGTCAACAGTCTGGTTTCAGTGGTGGAAGAAACAGTCGAGATGGGATGGGAGAAGATGTGACCAAAAAAGTGACGAGAGCTTCATGTGCTGACTTTGATCCACAGAGAAGCGATTCCCGCGCCCGCTCCCGTTGCTGCCTCCACACCGACTCAGGCGCCCGCGCCCGCGCCAGCTCCCGCGCCGACGCCGACTTACGCTTCTGGCGGAGGATCCACCACGGTATGTCTGAATTTACCTTACCTTATCCCACCTTGTACGGAGACCATCGCGGGTATCTTATCATCGAGTCCAATCCCGAACCTCCCCCAAAAAAACTCCCCCATCTCCTGCGTTAGTGTTATCGCAATTACCGTTCAGGTATTGCTGTTATCTAAGAACCAATGAACCCTGCAAGGCAGGTGTGGGGCTACAACTGGCCGCGGTCGCTCCTTCCCTGTCTTATCTTTGCTCCACAGATAAGTTTTCTTGTTCCCATGCAGCGATAGTCGTCAACACCAAGGCCAGAGTCCCAACTCTCATCGCGCGCTTCACCCCATCAAGCACCACGAACAAGCAAACGGTCATATTTTTTTCGCATTTCTTTTGGAGCACATACTTGGAACTCCGCGACGGAATCTTTTGCGACCATTTCGCTGGCGTTGCGCATCATGATGGCCACCCAAGCTAACGAATCTACGCAGCCAACGTGCCAAAACTGCCAGACCTCAACCACGCCCTTGTGGCGGCGCGATGAGTATGGATCAGTCCTCTGCAATGCATGCGGACTGTTCCTCAAGTTGCATGTGAGTGTATCGCATCCTTTTCATAGAAAGGCGAGCTAATACGGTATTAGGGTCGTCCGCGTCCCATCTCGCTCAAGACCGACGTGATCAAGAGCCGAAACCGCGTGAAGACGATGCGCCCTGATCTTGCGTCTAAGAAAAAGGTACGTGATCCGTTGACATTTCCCAGCCGTGGCTAATAATGCGACTAGCAACAGCAGCAGCAACAACAAGCTCACCAGTTTGGCGCAAACGATCCGAACGGCCTCGACATCCATGGGCAGAACCAGCGCAGACAGTCGCAAAAGTCAAACGGCAATCCGGACGGCTCTGACTCCCCCGTTTCTCGTACCGCGACTCCTTCTCTATACAACCCTAGCCTCCCGGTCTTCCAGGGCATGGATGATGCGCAGCTTCAGGCTGGACTGCAGGGCTTCAACGTCTCTGGGTCGGACAACCGCTCGGGCTCTCCCCTGAATGGTGACCGACACCTCGACGTCCCGCAAACACATGAGCAGCTCATTGCCGCCAACTCTGCCCTCAAGACCCGGGTTAGCGAACTAGAGTTGATCAACGAACTCTTCCGCGGTCGACTCAGCCAAATGGAGCAAGATGAAGCGAGCGCGAGAAGAGGGCAGGAAATCAGCGGCAAGGCAGAAGCCCAGCTGCGAGCTCAGCTCGAAAGCAGTAAGAAGCAATTGGATGAGAGCCATCGCAGAGAAAACAACCTCAAGCGACGTCTCGACGAGATGGAGCTGGAGCTGAAGGAGGCCAGAGATGCCCTGGACCTCTCTGACTCTGGCCGCGCAGCAAAAAAGCCTAGGATTGCCGAAGTGGTTGCCAATCCAGCCGTTGCTGCGGCCACGAGCGGAGGAGGCGGTGACGGTGGTGGTGGTGGTGGAGAATCCGAAGTCTCGACTCCTCAATCCGCCGCCGCGACCTGAGATGGCACCATCCGGGGCCCAAATCACAATCACCGTCACCTGCGCGATTTCCACGTACATCATCACCACCACCAAATCCCAACATCTTGGGACGACGCTTTGCAAAATTCTCCACGCTTATACCTATAATGCCGCGTGTGTTTTTCCGTGTTTCTTTTCTTGGTTTATCCCCGGATATCCTACGGGATCCGGGTACGATGGCTCGGGCTGCTTGCTGCTAGAGGGACAGGCGTTGCGGCCCTGCGGGTCAAGGTAGTCAAAAGTTTTTATTGTGACAAAAAATAGAGGCTTTACGGGATTGATGACCACACAAACCATACTCTTATCCTTCGGAATTTTTCTCTGTTTTGTTGATGTGATGTTCGGTTCCAAGCTGCGTGATCTGGATGGTTTGGGTGGAGAAGGGGAGTGGAGGACGAGGACAGTATCGTGAATCACGAATGCGTATTAATGGCATGGCTATTGCCAGTGCCATTGATGAGTCTTAAGGAGGGAGGAAAGGGCTTAGCCTCACGACGTCACGACTCCTCTTGTAAGCCGATGTCCGTCGTTCCTGTGTAAGTGAAGAAACTCGACCCTAGGTATCCGAAGAGCCGCTTAATAAGTGGGCAGAGTGTACGCACGTCGACTGTCAGTCCATCGATGCAAACAATTTCTGGTTAGAAGCGATACTTGGAGAGGTGATAGCGTGTGTTGAGAGGTGGTATACTATCAAAGTGAAGAGAGGGACAACGCACAGGTGATGGGAAAGAATAGACGACGACAGATATGAACCCTAGGTGGATTCGGCCTTCTAACCCCAATTCTTCTCACTTTATCCTCGTACCGTTTGGGTAGATATGTGTACACACAATCGAAGGGGAAATCAATGTGCTCATAGGGAAGATTATGGATTGGGTAAAGGAAGAACCCCATGTGTGGTGAATGCAAGACGCGTTGAAACTAAAGTCGTTCATAGTCTTGGCAGTTCTTAGCATCTTTTTAAAATCCATGTATCATAACTGAGATATCACAGACGACGAGTTGGTTGTAGGATGCAAGAGCATTCAGAACCTTCAGTAGAGCCGCAAAAGACCAATACCAATCGCAGATATATCTCTTGGGACCCTCAAACTACCTATGCCCCATCCAAAGCTACTGAATAGTCTAGTCATGATAGCTTCTAGCTAGGGTCCTGGGGTTAATTAGAAGAAGAAACATTTATCACAAACATGCAAATTTCCCCTCAAACCCTTTCGCGTGGTTGCCATGCAGTGTCATAGAAAGCTGGCACGGGTCCAAAAAGCAATCGTGGCTGTCAGTGGCATGTTCACAACCCTCCTTCCCCCACAGGGAGCCGAGGGAGAGAGACAGCCTAGACCTGAAATGCGATTAGATAAATACCTACACCTTGGCAACTTATGCAGTGAGATAGAGAGACATGCGCGGATAGAAGCCGGGAGAGCAAATAGAGACAAGGATGTCTGCTCGGGACGGATGCTGCTAGAGGAAGAAAAGCGACGGGTGCATCCATTCCCCTTCCCCTCCCGCCCGGGCAGGCTCCATATTTTCCCTATCATTCGCGGGGTTTCGATAACGCCTCTGTTGACTTGACTGAGGTAATCGTTGAGGAAAGTCTAAAGAAGTGGACTGTTGAATTGGTACCTAAAGCGACGTTTTGCCGTTCCTCTCCCCAATGATGCTGCACTTGCAGATCGACGTATTCGAACGGCGATGATCTCTCTTGGCTTTTTTCTTCGGACTCTGTCGGTACCGGGTACGAATACCGGTACCAAGTCAAGGGCAGGATTACGGATACACACAGACTTGTGATTGCGATCCCTGAAAATCCTTCGCCCCGGACTGGAGGGCAGGGATGATGGCAACATATTATTTTTTGTTTTTCATTGGTGCAAGGGCTTCTTTTTGAACGTGCACGCCTGCGATAGAGGGGTTGGGGAAGGGAGATAAGACATCATTATCAAGGTTATCGTCGAGAAAGAAGGGGAATGGGAGACTAAACCAAATAAAAGGCCCTTCTCGGTCCCATGTTGCCCGAGCACGTAAGGAACCTTGAAAGTGCGTGGTTTCTGAAGAGCTGTCAAGTTATCACGTTATTTGCCTGAAAAACAAGTCCAAATTCCACAAGGTAAAGCTGATGCGGGTTTGTCCTCTCTTGATGCGCGTCTTTTGCTGTTCTTTACAAGAAACAGATTGGCATTAGCAAATAGGTACAAGATCGAGGCGCAGCAACAGAATCAAGGAAAACAAAATAATTGGAACAATTTACATCTGACAAGGGTTGAAAACGGAATTTTTGCTCTCTGCATGCCTACTGTGGCGAACATTAGTGGCGTGTCCGGCGGGATGACACACCCAAAGGTAGAGCCGAACACATGTGGATGGGAAAGCAACAAGCCTCGGTGGCTTGCGCGCTTTTGCTTGCTTGACTGGATTCACTGGAAGGGCAACAGGGCTCCGGGGGAATGTTGTGCGTGCCGTTGGTCGTTGCGGAGGACGGGGATAAAAGATTATCACGAATTCCAGAGCTGATTTTTCGCACCGAGGTTTTGCTGACCCCCCCATTTCTTCAGGTTTTCATGTGAGGTTCCTTACATTAGGCGAGGCACAAGTATGTTCTACGCCCCCTCGAGGGAGTACTCAGCACGTAATGTGTGGTCGAGAGCAACCCCGATGGCGAAAAGCACACCACCCTCACCCAGCTCGCTCTCTCCTACCAATGCTAGGTAGGAAGCTCGAAAACTAGTTCCCTCAACATTCTCCCTACGTATGTGCTGCTTGTGGTTGGAAGACCCCCGTCCGACCCTCTTTCGCGGGCGGCGGCCCGTGGTCTACGTGTAGAGACCATTTAGACGACGAACGAGTTCCCAAGACAGTGGGATGTACATTTCACAAGCTCGGACGCCCGGAGCCCACGCCCACTTACCACCGGCCGACCGATGGATCGACCAAGGCAAGCAGCCAGGCCAAGTCAACGCTTTTCGCAACGCAGTCGCTCCAACAGCGGGCCAGCCAGAAGCAGAATAGAGAGAGACAGAAAAAAGGCCTAGGTCTGGTAGGTACTATTCTCCATGCCCCTCTGCCGTATTACGTTGCCGCAACCTCTGGTTTACTTTGGGTCCATCTCTCGGCGGCCTCTCATCATTGGCCGATGAGGATTCGTTTTCCTGTGGCCCAGCGGCCGCTTTAGGCAAGTGGAGTTCCCCCATCCTCCACTCCAACCCCAACCTGGGGGAGAACGGGACGAGCCCAGGGCCACACGCCCCCCATGGGTTCTGGAGAGGTAGGTACCTTCGGGCCTCACGCTTACGGGCCACACGGTCCCACGGCTCACGGAGGGAATCGGGGGAACGGACGGCGAGCGAGAGAAAAGGCGTGGCGTGCTGTATGCAGGTAGGGAAAGAGATGGATGGAGAGAGATAATTACCTGCATGCCGATTCCGCCATTGGTTTTTAATTCCCATATCAATTGGCACACCCGACATGCCCGCACTTGAGTTCGTGGCTCTTTCTCGCAAAATCCCCATTCACATTTCATCCTCTCGTTTTCCATGTTTATGCCTGCTCGTCTCTCTTTCTAACCTTACCTTTTGACTGAATACCTGGGCTTATCACATCCAATCCGCCAAATCGTGTGGAACATTGCAGTTACAGGGTGGAAATCTCGCGACTGACACCAGGGAGGAACGTCGGGTCCATCCCTCTCGTGTCTAGTTCCCTCCAGAGACATTCCAGACGGGCGTCCAGCTCCATATCTCTCATATCTCGGGGCTATCTCTTCACCACCACACCAGCATACCAATTCGCACTTTTTTTCATTCGCCTCCATTATTGACATTGGCCACCTTCCTCCCGTCCCCTCCGTCTCCCTTCCCGGAGCAATCATAATCTTCCTTCGCAACATCATGTCGATAACTGTTGGTTAACAATTCACCAATACCTTCTCGAAAGCGACCCACGTCTTCTTTCTCTCACAGAGACTAAAGAACCCACATCTTTCCAAACCGATCATCGCCCTAATTACACGCCTAATTGTACGTCTCCAAGTCAAGCAAAATATCACTACACGGATTAGACAGACACACCTAAAAAGGAAGAAGAAAAGAAGCACCAACACAACAATCACAAAAAAAAAAAAATGCTTCAAATGTCACAACTACCAAGCCGGGCAGGCTACAGCCCCCTCGTGCCCTCACCCCTAAACCCAGACGTCCACGCCGTCGCACCGCAACGCTGCCACCAAAAACTGCGCGAAAAGAGACGCCAACAGGGCCGCGGCGACGTGAGCCCGACCCAGAGACTCCTCCGCCACAAGGCCGCCATGGCCTGGAAGTCGGAAGCCCTGACGCGGGAGAGCACAATGTACACGAGGGACGAGATCCTCGACATCCTCGCAGAGTGCGATCGCCAAGACGAGGTCGCGGCGAGGGGGCTCATCGTCATGGCTACCTCGAACCAGCCGCCGTGGCCGCCGTCTCAGAAGCAGCAGCAGCAGCAGCAGCAGCAGAAGAAGCAGCCAAAGGTCCACATTCGGGCGGCGCACTGGAAGGAGCACGAGGGCGAGGAGTACGATTTCTTCTGCGAGACTGACGACGACGCGGACGAGAGCGCACGGCAGTGGGGGTCGCTCGTGCCCAGGCTACGAAGTCCCTTTTCCAAAGATACCGCTCGCCGGGTTGCGTTGGCATTCGGGTTGATGTGTATTTGTGGATGTCTACCGGCCCTTCGAGCCCACGGCTTCCACATGTATTCGGCTACCGAGGCTACGTAAAATGTCATGGACCCCATCCCGGGCCACATTGAACAACTCCACCAAATCGTCATCAGGCGGAATGGAACTTCATAATTCTAGCCTGACCCAAAAGCAAAAAGAGAAGAGTCTGTCTATCGGAGCGGGGCTTTATCGTCATACATACATCAGGCCGAACCAGCTCACGTCTAGAGAGCATACATTGCAAACATTACAGACGTCCATCATCCTACAAGTCGTTGCTGAGGCTACTTCTTCTCCTTGCTTGGGTCGGAAGGCTTTTCTTTATCCGTCGTGGGATCGACGTTGACCTGTTTCGCGGCTTCCTTTGCGGCATCGTCCGCGGCTTCAACAGAAGCCTCTTCCTCCTTGGCCTTCTTGGCATGGTTCACCTGCCAGATGGCCCGCTCAATTTCGACGCCCAGCTCGGGTACATCAAGCGTCTTGGCGATTCGTTGGCCATTGGCCTGCGAAAGTAGGATTGCCTCGTCCTTTGCGTTTTCTCCCTTGCCTTTCAAAGGCTCCGTGCTGCCAAGGGCTGGTTTCGACGGTGTTACGGTTGTGTTTTCTGGGATTAAAGGCGTATAAATGTCATTCAGTAGCTTTGACGGGGACAGGGCCAGGAGTTTATTGTCAACGAGGAATCGGAGGTGCTTGCCTCCCTCCAGAGCGCGCCAATGCGACCAAGCTCTGTAGACGAGATAGAAGAATGGCAGATTAGGTATCCTAGGAGGATAATAATATCAGCAATGCGATTCTTCCACACAATAGAATCGGAATCGAAGTTTCAACTTACACCGGCACCAGGGCGAACGGCGCCGAGATGGGCATGCCAATCAAGCACCATATGAGCTTCCTCTTGTGCAACGCATCTCGTTCGGTGGCCAGGGTTCTGACAACCTGCTCAGCCTGCTTTGTTGGGATGATGGTATCCGGGAAGACTAATTCAATCTTCTCCTTGCCCTTGAGCTCCTCATCCTTGCGTCTCGCAGAAATGGGCGGCACCGACTTCAACCCCCATTCTTCGTACGGAATTCGACGTAGGGCGTAGTTTCCATAGCTCACAACCTTCTTCTGCCATCCGCTCTCTTTTGCTTCCCAGCCAGCCCACAATTTGGCTGCCCTCTTGCCGACCTTATCTGCCAAGCCTTGTTGATTCGTCGTCGCAATGTTCAGTCGTTGTGAGTAGAGGAGAGTCCGACTCGTGGTGATGGGGAGGAGATAGAGACGCATATCGGATGACGAGGGCTCAAGCCAAGCGATGGGTACCGGTGGCTGGTTGGGGCAATTAACTTCGTCGTCGTCGGGTCCCTCGAGGAATATGCGACGCGCTGCCCCGCGGCAGTTGCGATGAGATGGAGGGGAAGGGAAAAGAGGACGCTCTTGGCTCAGAGATTAGCAGACAAAGCTTCTCCCGGTCCGCATGTCGAGTGATATACTGAATTAGCCGAGGGGCGAAACGAAAATCTCAAGTGATAGGAAACCTAGGCGGCCTCTTGTCCCTGGTCGAAGAAAGGAGGCAATTTTGACGTGTGTCGTGGAGTTCCAGGTCTGGAAGCTCTCAGCCTCTTGGACTTTGAAGAACTAGAGCCCTGCCCCCTGTCATCCATCTTAGCTTCTGGGTCAAGCTTCCTGGACTGAACCCGGACGCAGAGCACTGACGCAGGTCGGCGTCATGGGCCGTTCCTGTGATTTGAGTGGTGCGCCGAGTGCGAGGGACCACTGTTAGGGCGATACATGAAGGGGTATCCCCGGAGCTTAAGAGTGCTTGCATCAATGCCTATCGGAGCCCCCTGCTCAGCTGCGCGATAGGGGAAGAAATGGGCCTGACACCATGTCTGTTATCCACTCAGCTCAAAATCGACTGCCAAGCTGACGTGTGCCCCTCTATCGCGACTGAATTTTCCTCTGATCCCAGATCGCGCTCGCGCAAATTGGCTTTCGAAACCCGCTAAATTCCTCCATCTCGAGGTCGTGACAGTGCAACTGCCCGCGGATTCGGGGAGTACGTACCTGACATTTTCGCAGGCAGCCGGCATCGAGGGCCCACCTGTCGGGTTGCTCCAGTTGTTAGATTGCTCCAGTGCACCGGTGCTACCAGTAACCAGCCTTCCAATCGGGCTGTTGGACACACCTCTTTCCCTTTCTCTCCCTTCCGATTCCCTTCTCCCCAGCCCTCCATTTTGTCGTCCAGTCTATTTGGCGCCGCAAGAGGTGTCTGGACTCTGCAGTCTTTCTGCAAGGTTTCCCGGTTTGCTGGAACGCCCGGGCAAAAGTTGCGGTCATAGACCTGCAGTGGCACAATCCGAGTGTCGTTTGGTCTGCTTTTTTTTTTTTTTTGGTGTTTCTCTCCAGATACTTAGGCTGGCCACCGTCAGCTTTGGGATTCACCCTGCAGACAGAACCAAAGAACGGGACTGGACGGGGACGACGACGAAGCCAAGAAATAGCGACGCCAGCCAGCACCACTAGCTCATCTCTCCCCACGAGGACACAGCCGCCGCCTCCGCCGCCGTTGAGAGAGACACACACAGGGCGCACCCAACCGTTAGGTTGCTAACTGTCTCCCATCACGCGCACCTTTTCTACCGTGTCCTTTGCCTTTTTTACTTTACCTTGGACTTGATCACGGTCTCCTTGCTACTTTGCCTTCTTGCTTTTCTCAAAATCATAATCTTATTTTCTTACGTCTCTCACCCGCTCCTTCGCCCTGACGACTTTCCTTCTCAACTTGTGTACACAAACCTCGACGACAAAGTGCACGATATCACCTGCGATAATAGTATCGATACCTCGCTTTCGTACGGCCTCGACCGAAAGGCGGAGGGCATATTAATATGCGAGCCTCTTTACACGCCATTGACGAAGCGTTCCACTCACGACGCTCACAATCGCAGACGGCCTCGTCGTAGCACCCCTCCTCTCGAGTTCAGCGTCCAGCCTCAGCCAAGGCTGCGACTGCGATGAGCACATCCAGTCACCCACCTGGCAGTTCCGCCTCGGCCGACTTTCGAGCATCAGTCGGCACAAGCAGTACAGCGATCGATAGTAATAGTGCCCCGCGCATGCGCTTACAGCCGAAATCGCTCCCTCGTAAGGATGATCTCCGGCTCGTTCGGATCTTTGATTGAGTAGGAACCGGACTAATTCCCTTGTCGCAATAGCATGGATAGACTCTTACGAGACGCGGTATGGCAAACCCAGCGAAGATCAGCTTCAACTACTATCACCCCCGGCCCGAGCCGTTCCACCTCATCACAATCACCAGCCTAAGGAGCCTGATCGTCGGGTGTCGCGTGATGGCTGGGTCGACTACACTGGCGACCCCGTCTTAGAAAAAGCTCGCCCAAACACAAACGTCCGGCTTACAGACTTCTTCCGCGGCAAGGGCGCGCAACACGGCCGAAAGTGGGATCACCTACGAACAGCAGAGCCGGTCATCGTCTCAGCACACAGGCCCGCAACCCAGGGCCCACCAGCAGCATGGAAGGACTTTCTTCACTCGTCAGCCTACGGGCACATGGAAGGAGAACAGTCGGAGGTTGTGGACGTCAGTATGCTGGATAAGTTGCAGCCTGATTTCAACAAGCGATACGACTCGCACGCCCACAGAGACTTGGAGAAGGGATCGATGAAGCAGAAGAGAACGAAGACCTTTAGGCAAAGAATGTGGTCCCTCATTCTGCGACACTACTTAGTGCCCCTGGTTTTCCGACTGACAGTCATGTTCACGTCCATCATCGCGTTGGCTATAGCAGCCCGAATCTACGAAAAGGAGAACGCCAAGAGCAATGTCAGCCCGGAACGCGCGCAAAGTATTGTCGCTATCGCCGTGGATACAGTTGCTGTACCTTATATCGGGTACATGCTCTGGGACGAGTACACGGGCAAGCCATTGGGTCTCCGGCCAGCTGTCCAGAAGATTGCCCTCATTCTGCTCGACCTCTTCTTCATCATATTCAAATCGGCCAGCACTTCGTTGGCATTTGAATCGCTCGTCTTCCATAATGTCGAAGCAGGGCAAGTGAGGCAGCTGAGTCAGGCCCTGGCGTCGTTTATGCTGGCGGGTCTGCTGGCGTGGACCTTGAACTTCATGGTCAACATTTTCCGAACGGTTCAACGACTTGGAGGAGGCGAGGATGAAAGCTCTCACGACCGCATGTAGTTTTGGGGGGCATGGGAGGTGTTTTCTTTGGTCTTGTTGGGTATACCCGGTTTAGTAAAAGCCTGTACGATAACTTCAGCGCGCAACAGTAGCTGCGGTCCTTCCTCTTTGTTCATTATACATATTTCTGGCTGTCTAGGCATGTTGATATCAAACCTTTGCACAGTCTCGGCAGCGTAATATGTGACTGGGCCTTTTATGTGATGTTTACCAAAGTGCGACGTGTTTTGACATGTCAGATGATAGGTGAACAATCTGATGCTTTGTGGCTGGTGATACTACTCACAACAAGTCGTGCCCGCCTCCTGGGCTTAGTAGAAATGAATGACAGACATCCGTAACAGGTGACATTACAAAGGTAGCAAAGCATGCGACTCAATTTCAGGTGGAGTTTGTGAGATGGCGAATAACAATGAACAACAAGTAGTCTATATGTGATACGAGTCGACGTATCCATATTCCGGATCCTTGTATTTTGAGAAAACCAGACAGAAAGCCGACGAAATAATTTTGTCATTTTGGAGTAATCGCTGGGGGGAAGAAGCATGATGAAGTCAGAGTCATGAGTCAAGGCCTAACAATCTTTGTCCACAGGGCATCGTCTCTAGAAGCGATGAACAAACACCTTCTTAAGCAAATGGGAATGGCAAAGTTAGTCAGTCTGGTTATCTCAGGTGTAAACAGAAAAAGTTGACTGTGATCAAGAGACTCAACTATGTATCCTAGTATAAAGTACCTTACCCTTGGATCAATAGGGTCTGGGTGGGTGCAAATCGAAAGAGAACAAGGTATTCGTACCAATCAAAAGAAAGAGGTAAGGCTGAGAAGTCCCAATGTCCCCTCGTTCCCGCCCCCAGCAAACCCTGAAGTGAGGTACCTTTATGGAGTAGGCTGTGTCTTAATTGCCTGGTCGCGTACCTGAAGCAAAAGACCATAAAGCACGCCTTCCCTATCGCGGATTACCAAAGCTCATGGTCAAGGGCGGTCGCGCTCGGCAGAAACTCCCCGCTAGACCCTTCCGGTTGGAGACCCACTTTCCTCTCCGACAACCAGTCCCAAGCACCCAGGCCTCACCCAGGTTTAGAGGGCAGAGTCCCCACTCTCCACCACTCACGCTGTGACGAAGAGGTGGACGTGAGCTGGTCTGGTCTTGTCGCAGCCCAGAGCGTGGTCGTGTCGCTACCGTATCCGTAGCTGGCCACCACCTCCAGGCCTGGATCCTCCACCACCGGACGCCGCCTCCATCTGCAGCGCCTCTCACCCAGCAAGCAAAGCAGCCTTTCATTCTACCCACCAGTCGACCAGTGTCTGCCTGATCGCGTTCAGAGCTCTTGTGGTCCAGGCTACAAAGTTCTCTTCTTTATTTTCTTGCTTTGCCCTTCAAGGTATTGTTTGAGCAAAGTACGGCCTCACTTCCCTTCGCTCTGACTCAGACAAAGGCCGCCGTGTTCCTTCCCTTTTCCCCCAGACCCTGGTAACGTAAGGCAGCCTCTCCCTCCTTCCAACCCTTGCGACCACCGGCCTTTCCTTTGCATCTCCATTCTTCGACTTTGATTTCCAGAAGCGTCCGAGTCCACGCCACGACATCAACCTTCCACCACCATCTACTGATTCTCCTTCATCCTTCCACCAACGCCTGGACTGGAGATCCAAATACGTTTTCTCCATCTCTTGCCTAGACGGTTTTTCTAAACTTCTCGTCTCTCGCAGCAGGTCCCTCCCCCCGCCTTCCACGCCGAATCGACCCCCAAACCAACATCCGCCCCTCCCCCCACCACGACGGCCACGACGGCCTCACCGATTTCTTCCACCGACAGCGCGCTCGATCTGAGAGCTTGGGATCATGTCTACAGCCAAGATGGCGCCCGCCGTCCAGATGCCTCCAGTCCCTAACAGGGAGGACATTGGAGCCACGTGAGTGGACCTCCGCAGCCTCGCGACTCCGTCGCCGTTGGTCGAACACCCCGCGCTGACTGCGTACAGATGGAAGTACCTGGAGGCTGGCATCCAGCGTATCATGCTGGATCTTGAGCGTGGTATCGACATGCAGATCGTGAGTTGAAATGCCCAAAGCTGCTCCATGTTCCTCGTGCCAGATGGAAGGTTACTAACCACTGCTCGCTCGCCACAGTACATGGGAGTCTACACGTATGCCTTGCTGACCGGTCACTATCTTCATCTTCTAACTTGATCTCTAGTGCCGTCCACAACTTCTGCACATCCCAAAAGGCTGTCGGATTATCCGTTCCCCAGGGAAGCATCGGATCAGGCAACCACAGAGGAGGTGAGCATGGAGCACGCTTCCGTTGCTGCGTGGGGCAGCTATACTGACATCCCGTGATAGCTCACCTTCTCGGAGAAGAGCTCTACAACAAGCTCATCGAGTACCTCAAGCAACATCTCGAAGGGCTTGTTCAGCAGTCCAAGACGCACACCGACGAAGCCTTGCTGACATTCTATATCAAAGAATGGAACCGATACACGATTGCGGCCAAGTACATCCATCACCTTTTCCGGTATCTGAACCGACACTGGGTCAAGCGCGAGATGGATGAGGGCAAGAAGAACATTTACGACGTTTACACGTTGCACCTGGTCCAGTGGCGTAGGGTTCTTTTCGAGCAGGTATCGACTAAGGTTATGGAAGCGGTTCTGAAGCTGGTTGAGAAGCAGCGCAACGGCGAGACCATCGAGTATGGTCAGATAAAGCAAGTTGTCGACTCTTTCGTGTCCCTCGGTCTCGACGATGCCGACCCCACCAAGTCCACTCTCGACGTCTACCGCTTCCACTTCGAGCGCCCCTTCCTGGCTGCGACGAAAGAATACTACCAAAATGAGTCGAAACAATTCGTCGCCGAGAACAGTGTCGTCGAATACATGAAGAAGGCGGAGACGAGACTTGAGGAAGAGGAGGAGCGAGTGCGCATGTTCCTACACGCTGATATTATCACACCGTTGCGCAAGACGTGCAACCAAGCCCTCATTGCCGATCACTCTACGCTACTTCGCGACGAATTCCAGGTCCTCCTGGATAACGACAGAGAAGAAGATATGGCGAGGATGTACAAGCTACTGTCTAGGATTCCAGAGGGCTTGGATCCACTGAGGCAGAGGTTCGAGACACATGTCCGCAAGGCAGGTCTGAGTGCTGTGGAGAAGGTGGCATCCGACGCCGAGAAGCTGGAGCCAAAGGTCTATGTCGATGCGCTGTTGGAGATCCACTCCCAGTACTCAGGCTTGGTGACGCGTGCGTTTGATGGCGAAGCCGAATTCACGCGGTCCCTGGACAATGCCTGCCGCGAGTTCATCAACAGAAACGAAGTCTGCAAGTCGGGCTCCAACAAGTCGCCAGAGCTCTTGGCCAAGTACACAGATGTGTTGCTGCGCAAGAGCAGCACCGGCATCGAGGAGGGCGAGTTGGAGAACACGCTCACCCAGATTATGACCGTCTTCAAGTACATTGAGGACAAGGACGTGTTCCAGAAGTTCTACTCTCGCATGCTCGCCCGCCGTCTGGTGCACAGTAACTCGTCATCCGACGACGCGGAAACGAGCATGATCAGTAAACTCAAGGAGGCCTGTGGTTTCGAGTACACCAACAAGCTCCAGAGGATGTTCCAGGACATGCAGACGTCCAAGGACCTTAACGTCAGCTTCAAGGAGCATGTCGCGGGTCTTGAGGGTCTTAAGACTACCCTCGACTCCCAATACTCCATCCTCGGTACTGGTTTCTGGCCCCTGACCGCACCAAACACCAGCTTCACTCCCCCACACGAGATCAATGACGACTGCGAGCGGTTTACCCGGTTCTACAAGAACCGGCACGAGGGCCGCAAGCTCACGTGGCTGTGGCAGCTTTGCAAGGGCGAGCTGAAGGCCGGCTACTGCAAGAACAGCAAGACCCCTTACACGTTCCAGGTGTCTGCCTACCAAATGGCCATCCTGCTCCTTTACAACGATAAGGACAAGTACACTTACGAGGATATTTCGGGTATTACCCTATTAAGCTCTGAGGTCCTTGACCAGGCCTTGGCTATTCTTCTCAAGGCGAAGGTCCTCATCATGTCTCCCGAAGGCAAGCCGGAGGCCGGCAAGAGCTTCCGCCTCAACTATGACTTCAAGAGCAAGAAGATCAGAGTTAACCTGAACCTCGGTGGTGCCAAGGAGACTAAGCAGGAGGAGGTGGAGACGAACAAGACGATCGAGGAGGACCGCAAGCTTCTGCTGCAGGTATGTCTATCCGTTTCTATGACACTAATTTTTCACGTACTAACAGGGCAACAGTCTGCCATCGTTCGTATCATGAAGGCCAGAAAGAAGATGAAGCACACTCAGCTCGTCAGCGAGACCATCAACCAGATCCGGTCGCGCTTCGTGCCAAAGGTTTCGGACATCAAGAAGTGCATAGAGATTCTGCTCGACAAGGAGTACTTGGAGCGACTCGAAGACGACGAGCTTGGGTACCTGGCGTGATGGGAAGTGGATCGTACTTTCGGGAGGAGGAAATACCCCCTTGCCTCTCTCGATGGCTCATGTATTACAACAACCTCAAAACTGCATACAACACCACACCCAGTCTTACCAGGCATTGATTTGACTTACCCGGACACACATAAGGCGTGTGCAGGTTCTTCGACAACAGGACGGAGGAACATTGACGAATGGGAACTATTCTGCTTCGGGATTCAGGCAGTAGGCAGGTTGGGAGGTTTAGATAGTCGCATGCGGATTCCCTTGACTGTTTGAAAAAGTGTTTACACCGTGATGTTAGTGATGAGCAAGGAGAAGCCGGGTGATACGGCCACCCAACGGGCCAACGGAGTAGATTAACAGCGTAGATGGAGGGAAACTCTCGTGTTGAAGTGAAGTCTGCGGACCTTGAATCGTCAATCACTTGAAATATCGCCTTACTGTGCCATGGTTTTCTCTGTGACGGGAAGCAATATTGTTAATTGTGGGATAGGCAGGGAGTACACAAGCGTGTTCGTGTAGCCAAATGAGTCGGAGTGCCTATCGCTGTGCGGATGAAGCTGCGTTGAAGGTAGATTACAACGGACAGAGCCCAGGAGCCCTATTGACAACAGCCATGTTGTCTTTGATTTGTTCAAAAAATTGAAGTAGAGCTATTTCTGTGTTGGTGGAATCCCGAACACCTCTAGTCTTTGCTGTGACTGAGCGGGGGGAACCTACATCGCGAGATGAGGAGAATTGAGCTGGTTGTCGCCGTTCTGTCAACCACGGTATTAGGAAGAAAGTATTCCGATTAAGACAAATAAAGCAAGGCAGCTTTCTATATGTGAACTGTTCCTATCAGCTGTCATTTCTTGTGTGGTTTCATGTGTTGATGCGGGGAAGAGCGGCTACTCGGTGTTGTGCGCCATCTCACGATATTATCAACTCTGCCTTCAGCTTTCACCACATACGACCATACCCACTGGAAAACTCGGGATCCCGTCCGCTCTCCCATAGATAAGCCAGCGAGGGCCGGATTAGTAGTTGGGTCGGTGACGACCAGCGAATACCTGGTGTTGTATGTTTTTGGAGTTTTTGTTTGGTGGTGATGGGATGTGGTGGGTTGAGGGATCCGCTGTGGGTGGATCTATCGTGATGCTGGGAGCTTTAGGTCAGGCGCGGCGAGTTTGTCTCTTTTGCGTTGGTTTAATGTGCGACTGACTATGCTGATTAGTGTTAAACTACATGAAGGGAACTTGGTGTAGACAGAGGTGATGCTGAGATGGTTCTGTGTACTCGGCGTTGTGTGTCGTTTTAGTCCATATTCGGCGCAGCGTTGACTGGATCTCTAAATCCCTTGTATGGAGATCTCCTTGGAGATTTCAGGGCGTGGTAGGCCTGCTGATATGTTTGCTCCGTGTGTGTTTGAATATGTCTTATGGTCTGTTGTCTAATATGTATTTACTCGGCACCCTTAAGCACTCTTACCTCTGTCAGTAACGAGGCCCAGACATCCCGTGTGACACAAGTGTCCGTATGCAGGACGCCCGCTGCGCATGCTATTTCCCGGGTTGTCCATTTAAATCCCAGCTCAAGGGTCACATGACGTTTCCAGAGCTTGCTCATTATCGTGATGCTGGACTCGAGAATTAGAGAGTTGATGCACCACGCGTAGGGGCTGTCTTCTTGAGTGTCATAGATATGCGGTCGAGACTGGATTGAGCCAGAATCTATCACCGGTACAGTCAATGAGGTGAGAATGGTAAATTGGACAACTAATCGGTACTGCTCAAGGTATGGAAGAGGTATGCCGAGAACGTGGACCCGAACTCAACCTCGGGGTTAAATGGTTCACGAGAGGTGGCATCGTGGGTGTTTGAATTATGACATGGGAACTAGCAGCTTCTGTGCCGACGGTTGTGGAAGTTGGTATGTAGCCTCTGTTATCTTGCATTCTATACATATGTATGAGGACAGGTGATCTGAATGTAGCTGGTTGTTAAAGTCGGGACTTCGAGGTTTGATTGTTGAACTTCTTAGAACACGATATGAGGCCTTTCACTTGGCAGATCATTGAAGCAGCTAATTTAAAGCAAACTTCGGCTTTCTTCTTCTTTCTATTCTTCTTATCTATAATAGAAGAGTAGGGTAACACTCACTTCCGTTGGTAATTCTCAATTTGGTTCAGATTTCCCTCAGATAAGATCTAGTTGATGATTGTCTCTCAATACAGGCCGTTTATCTGGACATATCCCAGGTTTGTACCGAATTTTCGCAGTCTCTCCTTTACCACTGATGGTTGTTAGGTCCGCTGTAGCGGTTGCGAACGCAGTAGGGCGTCATTCGGGCAGAAGGTTGGTTGCGATTGCATGCTCAGCTTGCCAGCCTGCGTTGTCCACACGAGAACCACAATTAGATCTGTCGTTGTACCGCAGATGGGCAGTGCAGCTTTATCGTACCAATTGTGAGAAAAATCCAACATGCAGCCAAGTCCTCCTCGCCACTGGGCGAAAAAGCCATAAGCTTATGCGCACCGTTGAGGCCCCCACGGGCTCAGCCTGATTCACGATATGCATATCTGAGGCGTGCGCATATAAGGATTCAATCCCCTCTATCAGGTCCCTCCGTCACCTGTACTGTCTCAAAATGTTTGTGACGTCTCGGAATGGCACCTTACCAAGACTCTCCCCATACCGCTGGAGATGGGTCATCTCCCAGACCTTCGTCTGTATCATTCACAGATGAAGTGCATCGCAACACAAACATATCCAACCAGCAGCCCGGTAGCCTCCTGAACGATGACTCTATAAGTGACTATACGATCATCCCCGCCGAGGAGGAGTCCCGAGATGAGGTCAACGGGCTTCCGTCAGCTAGTCCGAGGGGCACCGACAAGGAAGATCTCAATCAAACTGAGAAGAACAGCCTACTTTATAAGCCTCTCGGCAGAGTTTCAACCTTGAAACAATGGAACCTCGAGTTTGCAGCACTTTTGACCTCCGTGATTGCCTTCATCGTAATGGTTATCCTCTTGGTCGTTAGTAATGGCAAACCACAACCGACCTGGGCGTATAGTGTGAGCATCAACACACTTGTTGCCATATTGACCACACTCCTAAGAGCTGCGATGTTATTCGTACTATCAGAAGGTCAATGCCGCCCTCCCCCTCGGTCTTCTTCTTAGAAATACGTGCTGATGATGTTAGTCATTGGACAAGCCAAATGGTTATGGATGGCAGCGCCGCGGCCACTTCGTCATGTGGAACATTTTGACAACGCTGGTCAAGGTGCCTGGGGATCATTGAAATTTCTGTTGAACATCCGTAAACCGTATGTCATACCCTGATCCGTCAATGTATGAGAGTGCTAAAAACACATGCAAAAGAACACTCACAGTACTAGGCGCTCTGGTTGTGGTTGCCTCTTACGCTACCGGCCCCCTTTCCCAGCAAGCTGTCAAAACATATCCTTGTGAGGTTCCAGCTGAGGGAATTGCTCGCATCTCGATAGCCGAACGGGTTATGCTCCACGACTCTATTAGAGGTAGTGCAACTGTCAATGCAAAGATGAGCACAACCGCTATCAACGGCCTACTTGCTATACCGTTTGACAGTTCACAATTATTCCAATGCGAGTCGGGCAACTGTGTTTTCCAGAACGTTTCTGGAGTCACGCACTCGTCTGTGGGACTTTGCAGCAAATGCAGCGACGTGGCATCCGAGTTGCAAGAGTTTCCAGACTCGAAAACCAAAATGATGGGCAGGTTTCGCAACAATTACCGTTTCCACAACGACTCCGAATTTACCATCAGCACTGGCGTTGAACCAGAGCTATTCAACATGACAACCAAAGCTTTGAATGACGAATCCGCGGTCAGGACGTCTTTTCTGACGCTCTCTGTGGCAGGTTGCATTGCCCAGCCCAACCCAGATGCCCCGGCAGATCGAAATTGCCAACACGAATATGAAAATATGCCAAGACTCAGCTCTGACCTCGACATTGTGGCTGTCAACTGCAGTCTATATCCTTGTCTTCGTCATTATAGCGGAAACATCACGAATGGTACTCTTCATGAAGATTTACTATCGACTGAACCAATGTCTCGCACCCACGGAGGGCCTAAGGCGGATTACGTCTCGATAATCCAGCCGTGTCTTGTCAATGACAAATGGTATGACTTGTCCAATATCACCGACGCCAATCGAAATGGCGTAGCCTGGACATATTGGACTTCAGATGGAGCGACAAAGGGAGCACCGGCTCATTGCGTCAGGTTCATGGACTATGAAGAATTTTATGGCATCAGATACTTCCTCGAGGACAACCTTAAAGGGTATTGCAAACTCTTTGATGCCACTGAAAACGGACCAACTTCTCCAGATGCCATGAATGGGATAGGGAACTTCAGCCGGCTGCAGTGTGAAACAGGTTGGTGGCTTGACGCTCTCTACAATGGAGGGAAAGCCACGTTCGACAGCTTCGCAGCTGCCCATGACAATATGTCCGTAGCGGTAACGAATCGGTTGCGTGTAAACGGACTGATTTGGTCAGACACGGACGAATCAAACAGTTTCCAGGAGGGAACTTGCAGCCATACCTCGATTTGCGTAAGGCTTGAAGAATGGTGGCTGCTTTACCCTGCAGCTCTTCTGGCCCTGACATCAGCCCTGCTTGTGGCCGCGTATGTTCAGAGTTGTCGAGACAGCGGGAGGCAACCCATCTGGAAGTCGTCAATCCTACCTCTGTTATTTTACAGCATATCAGAGTAACACAGCTCGGATGAGAGAAACGAGAGTCAAGACGGTAGCTCATCAGTACCTCTTTTACAACTCGCCGAAATGGAGTCCCGGGCCGACAAGACTATAGTGAGTTTTTGTGGTGGGACTGAAGGTGCTAGGTTCGTTGTTGAAGAAAGGGTGATCAAAGCCAAGTGATATCTGATGGGCAAGGAGTTAGGTCTTGGTAGCTGAGGGGTTTGTGGAATAGAAATGATGTTGTGATAGCTTTCGATCACCTCAGTACTGGATGCACATGAATAGATAGCGAGACACGGACTTGCTTTATACTAACTGACTATAGCCTCAGGGCCATGTGCCGTCTGGCATCCACTGCTGTGACTTCCTGCATTCAAATGCTTCTTCCATGGCTTCAACATATATCTCGAATGCCTCTCGTCGTTGTGATGCTGTTTTAGCCAGAGGGAGTGGGCCAGCACATCGGGATACATGAGATTGTGCAGTACTAGGCTGTCTCCTGCTGTGAGAAATCAGATGGAGTTGAGCATTTGTTTGCAATGCAACCTTGCCAGAGCCTCACTCTATAGTCGCTTGACTCTTCGTCTCTAGCGAATAAACATGATACTATAGCTTCTGTGTTGATTTCTGACAAATGCCTTCCAACGGGTTTGTCCCACCCCTGCGCAGTGTATCTCACTGACTTAGCATCCAATGTTGATTGCTTAATGGTTGAACTGAGACTTCAGTCACCCTCGGAAACCTTTTCTTTTGCAGCGTTGGGGATTCGCTTTCCGTTGTGTGTCAAGACAATCTGCGACTCGCCCTCTCCGTTCTCGGTATGGCGCATCGTCACCCCAATACCTCGCAGGCCCTCATCGTCGGCCCGTTGATTCCAGAGCATCTGCTGCACCAGCCCCTCCCTAGAGCACGAGATGAAGCCCATGGGCCAGCGGCTTCGTCCCAGAGACTCTCGCACGCCCTTGCTTGCTGGCTTCTCGCTGACCAGGAAGGCAATGACTCCTTCGCCACGCCAACCCACAGGGGCGCCGATGAAGGAACCTTCCAATTCCCTGACTATTGAAGGGCCGACGCGCTGGGCACCTCCTTTACACTGAATGATGACCTTTAGATTCTCGGCCCGGGATGGAAGACTCCAAGTGCCGAGGAGGTCGATGCCCTGGTCCGATGCTCCGCCTACACGAATAGCGTGGATGCCGTATTGGGTGAGTGCCGAGGAGACTGTGTACTCATAGTGGGTTCCGACATAGACTGTTGATGCCACATCGAGTCCAGTACGGTTTACGTACGCAAGGAAGGATGCCATATCATGATGGTTTGTTGATGGAGCGTCAGGGTATAGCAACTTCGGACCCTTCTCTTGTCGTTTTCTTAATGATGGACATGTTGATAGGGGAGCTGACAGAATTGATGAGATGGCAAGTCGATTATGGCGAGACAAGTGCCTAGGTAATGAGCGTAATAGAGCTTTCATGCTCTTGGAATCTTGAACCCAGTCTCAGGATTTCTTGAAATTGTAAGGTAGGTTCACATATTATGAGTACTGAAGAAACATCCTTCCTGTTGTTCTCTCAATTAAGCACAAGCAGATCGAGAGGTTCGCAGCAGTTCTAAAAGGTACGTACCGTAGCAGGTATGCGACCAACCTATCCTAGGTTGGCTGGCCAGTGCGTCCACGCCTAGGTGCATAGCAGCTGACCCACAGAACAACCTCCCGCGTCGCATACAGAGCCTCCAAGGTTGTCTGTCACTGTGAACTTCAATACTACAACCGACCATATCGCGCAAAATTGCTGCAATACCGGCGCGATGGGCGACAGACTCACTCAATTGCAAGACGCTGTAGACCAGGTACGCTGTTCATTGCTTTACATCTCTCATCTGCTCTTCTGGCAAGCACTAACTGCTGTCTCAAGCTTGCCCAGCAATTCGTCGCAAGCTTCCACTTCGTCCACCGGCGCCACGATCTCGAGCTGCTCGGACCCAACGATAAGATTAGAGAGGTCAAACAGGATCCGGAACAGAAAGAAGGTAGGTCATTCTGCCATGATAGGTCCCAGAACGAAGGACAAATGCTAAACAAGCCCGCTCGCAGTCGACCCTCTCCCCGCAGACGAATTCAAGGACGGCCTAGCCGAGCTGTCGCGCGACCTCATCATCAGGGAACAGCAAATAGAGGTCCTTATTTCCAGCCTGCCGGGCTTGGACAGCAGCGAAGCCGACCAGGAGCGCTATATTCAGGAGCTGGAAGATGAGCTCAAGGTCGCAGAGAGTCAGAGGCAGGATGCGATACGAGAGAAGGACCAGATTCTGGCGAAGCTTGATGAAGTGATTAGAAGCGTTCGACGACCATGAACCATCACATCGATCACCAGGATAGCATTGCATTTGGGGTGTTTTGGGCGTTGAAAATGGGTCAAACAGGGGGTATTCAAGTTTAAGGATATCTATGAATTAGCGATACCCAATCCAACACAAAAAATGTGTTTCCGAGCCTTTTATCTCTCTGGTTTGTATCCTCCTTCGCCTTCTATTAATTTCTGTCCACTGTCGTTCAATCATTGTCCCTGGTTGTAATAGTCTAAGCATTCTTGGACTTGAAGAATTGAGGAAAGGCGTCTCGCAGCTCCCTGAGGTGACGGATCTGATGAGCGGATGCAGGTGTCTTCGGCACAGGGAGATCCTCCTCGACGAGATGGGCTACGTTCCACCCATAGCCCTGGGCCTTTTGGCAGTTCAGGTAAGAGTCGTCTATGGCAGATATTCAGCGTCAGATCCTTTGTGAGTGAATAAATGACAACATACCGACAAAGTAGCAATCCTCCATCTTCTCGACGCCCGCTTCACGCATAGCCCTCAAGTACATCTCCTTGGCAGGCTTGCAGACAAGCGGTGCCTGTCCATAGTCGCAGAAAGTGAGTCCATCAAAGAGATCGTCAATACCCAGCAGCTTGGTCACGCGCTTAGCGTGGTTTACGTAGGCATTGGTGAGAAGCCACATGGTACACTTGCTCTTATCGACATCTTCGAGCAGTTCACGCAGCTCAGGGTTCGGACTGAGGATGTCCTCAAGAGGTAGGGCGTCGTCGACCTGGGCATTGTACTCTAGAGGGTCAATCTCATGGTGGCGAACCAGACCTTCAATCGCAAGGCCGTAGTTGGTGTAATACTCCTTGTGCAATTTCACGGCATCGTCCCACTGGAGGGAAAGGTGCTTTACGAAGTACTCGTCAATTAGCTGTGCCATGTGGTCCTGGACCTTTGAACCTAGTGAAAGTCAGTCTTCATGATGCCGTCTCGAGTGTCTTCCAGAACTCACTCCTCGGGTAGAGGCAGTTATCAATGTCACTACGCGGTTGTTAGTCAAAGTGTTCATCCGCATGGATGAGGTTCAACTTACAAAAACAGCACAGGCTTTGAAGTTGACACTCCATTTGTGTGGGGTTTGGTGGCATCCATGGCTGATGTGGTATAGCAGGCGCCTTCTAATTTAGGTCTGAGAATGGAAGGTGAAATCAAAAGGGGCTTGCGATGCTCAATGCCGCGCCTTGTTGTGTAAGGTCGGGTCTTTGGTGAAGAAAAGGACCGAAGTCGGGCTGAAGAAGAGAAGCTTCGAGGTATGTTTGGTGGGAGTCTGATCGGCATGAAGCAAGCGAAACCACGTTGGTCTGGAGTTTGACACTTATGTTTCTTTTCCTTAGTCTCAGAGTTGGAATACCCCGTTTCTGGCTTACAAATGCAAATTGGGGCTTTTGAGGCTTTTCGCGATACTTTGGCAGCAGTATGTAAGGTAGTGTTGACTCACGCCGATATGCCTCGTTACGCTGTTGATGTAATTACAGGAAGCTAAGGTACAGGGAGCTGTTTCCGGCCGTCGGGGACCTTGGCGCTAAAACATTAGTGGTGACCATGCCAAAAACACGCCGAGGCTGGGAAGCTGGTGACATACTCGCTTAGCTGCATGACCCACTCAAGCCTGAATCACCCATCCAGGCCCACAACTGATCCGCAAGATTCTTATAAGGATTTATCCTTGTAGGAAAAGTTCACAAAGAAACCATTACAGGCGGCCCACGGCCCATTCCTTTTCCTCTCAACATCCACCAGCGGCACGACGCCTTTTCTTCATCTTCTACGACACTGCAGAAATTACTGCGCTCAAGTCTGCTACGCTTCGGGTATAGTCAACAGTGCTGACTCTCACGATATTGGTAGTTCTGTTTGTCTTCTTGGATTCCTTTCTTTTCGCGCTTTCTTGCTTGACTGCGGAGGATTTCCTTGCGCAAATTGCATTTCGCCATGGCTCAAGGCCAGCTCGCATCACTACCGCCGTTGGCGAATGGGACATTTTCGGGTCTTTCAAGAGATGAGCTACACCAGATACAACAGTACGAGAGAATCGTGCAGTTTCGCGATGCCATTCTTGCTGGCTCGCATTCCAAGATCAAAGTGCCAGCCCAGTTGGCGAGCCAAACACCGACCCCTGCCATAGCATCTTCATCAAACCCTTCTACACCAGCAAAAGAGACGAATGGAAGCACAGCGCAGGGTTATCAAGCTGGGAATCTGCAGTCGTTCGCGACCAACACGCCACAAGCTTCTCTTCCTGGTTTAGGAAACCCGCCCCCTGCTAATGCGAACCTGCCTGCAAGACCGTTCGTTGGCTCTGGCAAAACCGAGATCAATCCTATTTTTCTTCAAAAGTCTGATGATCTCATCAAGGCCGAGATACAGCTCCAGAGGCAACGCCTTGAACGGGCACTTCGCGACGAGGTTGATCAACGTCGGGCTTCTATGAAGGCCTCGGCGCAGTCGGAGCCTCTGGCCGACTTTGACCTCTCCGACGTCCTGTCCAAGGCTCTGACTCTGGTTCAAGCTGCTGCTCCTTCGTCTGTCAATGCTACACTGGCTGCTGCTAACATTTCAGCTGCAAGTGACTCCGTTGATGAGAACTCTTATTATTCTTCCCAAGTCAATTCGCCAGATTCCTCACACCGCAGTTCACGCGGCGGTAACGATGCCGAAGTCACGGCACAAACACAGAAGGCTTCCACCACAGGCCAGCCTTTCGAAGGTCAGGCGCAAGTACAAGCAAACCAGAAGACCCAAGCTGGCCTGCAGTCCTCAAGACCTCATGCCTCTGCTACTCATCAGCCACAGGGCCAAGCCTCGAGCTCCAATCCCTCCCAGCCGCGACCAGTTCCAAGCAGACCCGATGCCGCACCCGAATTTTCACGATACCCGTCGGTAGGAACGACGCAGAGAATGGATATGGGTGATAATACGGGGTTGTCTACATCAGGAGGTGGGAGCGGAAACACCAGTCGTTCTGAGGAGTCAGGCGTTATGGACCTTGACGACAGTGCTGATAGGTCTGTCCCTGCCGCAGGTCAACAGCAACTTAGGGAGTCTATGCTCGCTCGCCAACCCTCGCCTTTGATACAGGTTCGCGCCCACAACATATCCCCCTTAGCGCCCCAGCCCTCCCATGTCTCGCCTCTTGCAATGGCCAGAGGTCAAGCAGCGGATGCTCAAGACTTGACCATCCCTCAAGGAACCACAGCTCAAGTTGCAGCACTACGCAATGAGCCCAATATTATTTCCAGTCCAGATAGCTCGCCGCAAGGGGGTAGAAGCGGGGAGAAGCGGAAGGGGAAGAAGAAGAAGAACGGCAAGAGGGCAGCCAGGCAAGCGCCAGACGAGCCTTACATCAAGCCAGAACCGCGATCGCCGTCTCCGATGAATGCGCCGTCTTTTATTCGTCCACAGAAGCGGCAAAGAAGACAGGGTGACGAGGAGCCTCGTTACGCCCAGCCTGAGCGTCAGTTTTCTCGATCATACAGAGAGGAAGGTGCTGCGCCCATGTACGATACGCAAGAGTACCGTCCACGGCCAGCGAGCCAAGCCGCGGCGATTGGTGACTATGGGTATGGAAGAGAGTACATTGAGGAGCCCCGCGTTATCAGCGGCGCGGAGTATGTGCGGCATGTGCCGTCGCCTGGTGTCTATGCTGTTCATGCTGCGCCAAGTGAGGTGTACGCAACATCCCCAGCCAGTGTCGACCGCTATGGTAGGGAACCTGCACGATACTATCGTGATGGTTACGAAGTGACGCGCATGAGCACTCGTCCCATGACAGATCGCGCAAGATCTCGGTCGCCCATCATGAGAGAGAGGGCATCCCCGCTAATGGGACCACCCAAAGCGCCGTCCGGTAGGGTTGTGGTAGACCCCGCTACTGGGCGTCGATACTACGAACCATCGACTGTCGTCCGTCAGTCTGTTGCGCCCTCACCACTGCGACCTGGCGAGCCCGAGGTTATTTACGAAAGAGCGCCCATTCGAGCAGAGTCTAGGCGCCCCGGCCCACCCCCTAGAGACGACGACGTCCTCTACCAGCGGACCTCGCCAGTGTACGCAGCACCGAGGAGAGTCGTCACACAACCCGAGTACGTTGCAGACCCTCAACGAATCTACAGACAGCGAGAGTATTCTACGAGGCCAATGGCACCCCCGGGCGAAGAATTCATCCCTGCCAGAGGTGGTATGGAACAGCGGAGGATTATTGAGGAGGCTCCAAGAGAGTATATGATGCGGGCGACAACAGCCCGCCCTGCGGAGACGGCGGTACGCTATGAGCTTCCGCGAGAGTACGGAAGAGTTCAAAGTGTGAGGCCGGAGCAGATTCCCATCCAGGACTACGCTTCGGCACCCATGCACCCCGACCCCCGTCGGGAGATGATCCAACCTGGACCTCGGTCCTACAGCGTGCGGCCTGCCGAGCCTCAGGTGCTGCGGCGGGAGTATAGTGCCAGGCCGGTGGAGCAGCAGCCTTACTACGGACAGCCGGTCCCCGCACGGGGCGAGCCGGAAGTGTCATATATTGATCGGCCCGTGTACTACACCGACGAGGCTCCTCGCCCAGTCTATCGATGAAGAATGTTGAGCTTTTGGTCTGGATATGAGACAGGCTTTGTTATGCGGTATCGGAATTGGCGGATTATAGGCGTCGGAGCAAGCTGGGAAACAGCTTTCGGAACTCTTCTTAAGGGGGAAGGATTAAAAAGTCTTTATTGATGGGACGGAGTTTCGGCAAAGAACAACCGGATGGAGGGGAACGGTGGTGAATACCTAGCCACTAGCGGTAATCAGCAGCACTGCGTGTACGTTTCATAATCAACAAAATCCAATTGCAGTCATTCAGTCTATGTGCTTCTATCTTCCGGTGATTTGCCCAGTGTGGAACAAGATGAAAGAGTTCATACGAGACATTTGGGAAGAATGAGTAAGGCAACGATCCAAGAAGGAAACTATCTAGAAAACTCGAGACAGCGTCGCATAAGGGATCAGGTCTCGGCGATTAAACCCAAATCGTGACGAAGTTTATCCTTCCCCTCATAAGAAGGGTGAAAGAAAGGACGATATTACAACGATTGAGTTTTCCCAATCAATGGAAAGATGCCGTAGAAAAAGGATGGACTTTGCACAAACGAGCACGGACTTTGGGGCTCTCGGAGCGTCGTCTGTAGATTTCGTTCCGTTTTCCAATTCACCTCGTCCTTGCTCTTGTTTTTTGTGATTTTGTTTCCGCTCTTAGCACCCGGACTATCGTGTCCGTTCGCTCAAGTCAGGACACAAAAAGTGATGGTCACCATGAGGGCTATCCTGTTAGGTAGGCTCGAGGGGAGAGGCATAATTCGGTACATAAAGAGACGGACTTAAAACCTGTCCAGTAGGACTCCAGTTGCTTTTTGACCTAAGGGGATATAGGAACACCACGGAGAAGAAACAACGCCCAGCGGGGTTTCTATGAAGTCATTGCGAACCTCGCTCAGAGCAATACCTGTCGGGTTTCCCGCGCTTCAAGTTCGTGTTATATGTGGGTGGGGGGTGGGGGGCTCAACGAAGATCTGTATCCGCAGAAGGAACACTGATGATGACTGTACATGGAGAAAAGGAATACTGTACTCCGTCCTCTGTACGGATACAACGAAAGATGGAATTTAAAAAAAAAAAAGTCAACCGAAGCATGGAGAGTGGATTCCGCTCTATGCGAGACTGAGGCATATTCCCTTTCGTGCCAAAGTTGGGTTGGTCAGAGATCTTCTAGTGGGCGGATCTGACAAAGTCTAAAATCCTGCCGTCCGTCTCTCCCTCTTTTCTCGCAAAGTGCTGTTGGTCAGACGTAGATAGACGACCCAGCAAAAGCCGGTTTTGTTTGATTAGCTGCTTTGATAAACTGATAGCGAGGGACGCTTCAAACGGTGGCAGGGGAAAGAAAGGGAAACATCATCCATGGGAGGGGTCAACACTACCGATGCATACTCTAAACGACGGCCCATTGCCCAACATGCGTCTTCCGGCGGGTCCGGCACACGAACGTGTTCAGTGTCGTAGCCCTTGCACCAGGGTACTGCTCGCTCCGTACGGCCAGGTGCAAAGAAAAACGTTTGTGACCGTAGACCAGCCCGCCTCGTCCAGAGAAGGTTTATCAGTCATATTTCGCCAGCCAGGTTGGCTCCCAGGACGCACCCAGAGAACACCAGCCTGGCTCGTCGTTGCACTTATTTTTCTTGGTCCGAGTGCCAATTGTGTGGAGGACCAGTTCGAGGTTGAAACGTTCATTCCAGGATCATCGATCGACATGTCCCCTTCTCCAGGCTAGACGGCGAGAACGGCGGCTAGTTTGGTGGTTTGGTCAAGGCCGGGTTCGCGTTGCATATCGGCGTTGAAAGGGGTCCAGTCCGACCTCTCATCAAAACTGATCAGGTGCTTTTCCAGTGCTAACGTTGGGCGGCACCAGGAACCAACGCACATTCGAGCGGGCGTAGTAACCGTCTTCTGCGAGTCTATTCGCCAGGGGGACGCACATCTGCAGTCGGCCCTCTGTGGACAGGGCGCGGGCACCTTCTTTTTTTGCTGGATGCAGATCAAGCAACCACACTCGTGCCAGCGCCTGGTCCTGTTTCCAGGTGACGATACACTCAAGGCATCTTCCCTGTCTCGGGAACATCATCGAGGGGAAGCGTCTAAGACAGGACCAGGTTTTCTCTGGCCTACGAGGGAAGCCCTAAGTCAGCGTGGTGGTGTTTGCTTGACATGTGTCAGTTGCCCTCATCAAGCCACGCCGCCGTACATGGCATTCGAGGTTATGATGTCCTGCAGTATGTAGCAGTGAAAGAATCACTTCCCAGCGATGGTAGAGGGCAACGAGTGAAGCCAATGACTAGTGACCTGGCCAGGACTACACTGTGAAGTGCCGGTGCGCCGATGTAGCCCTATCAAAGAGCCAAAGGATTGGAGCAGAAGACGACTAATTCTCCGTGACGGTGACTGGCCAGACGACGGCTGTGGTCCGTGGATGAATGGCGTGGTGGGATTCGGGAGGCTTTCGCTCGAGGCTCGAGCTTCCTTACGCCACGCCCAGTATTTGAGACGCAAAGCGGAAGGAGTTGGTCCATGGGTTCAGGGATGTTGGCCAACCTCAAGGCAAAATGCGAAAGTTCAGTTGAAGCTCCAACACGTCGGGGAGTGACCGTTTGGGAAGTCGCGGTGTTCGTTTTTTTGCGCCCGGCCGATTTTCTCTTTCCAGATGGGACATGCAGCAAGGAAGGGGGTTGCATTCTTGAGTAAAAGCAGTAGTCGATACCAAAATCGTCGGGACTTGAGTCGGGAGTTTGCTGGAGTAACCTATATTTTGTACGGACTACTATCACGAAGATGAAAATTGTTGGCATATGCTGGAAATGCCAACGTCGTGGGTGGCTCAACGGCGGTCAGAAAGTCGCCCGACTTAGCGCTGGTAACACGACTGCCGGCTAGTAAGAAGCCGGGTTTGCTCGTCACTGGTTAACAATACCTGCATTGCTCCCGGGCCATATGAGCTGGTGCTCGATGTTGGAGAATGAGGACAATAGGACTCTTTGTCAGCCTCACACCAGACTGCGTTAGGTTCCGCAAGGGTTGCCTTTGGGTTTGGATGCGGCAGAAACGCTGACCACACTGATATCATGACGACGATGACAAGCCAATGAGAACAAACAACGTCCATAACAACTTGTGCCGGCCTGGTGGTGACTCGAGTCGTAGCCTCCCACAGATGGTAATGAAAGCTGTGTTTTGCAGTCTTCCGTCTGCGGTACTCATGTGTCGTTCTTGGCTTCAAGCTATGCGTGGCCATGAAGTTGACAAAGACCTAGGTGTTGGTCCATAATGCATCCCGCAACGACGCGCAGTGTATGATGGGACAGGCAGCACGATCGACCCATGTTGGCTGTCAGTCGCGTGCCCTGCACTAGGAATTCAGGATCGCCTGAGCGAAACGAGGGAGGGTCTCATCGGCCGTGGGCGGTGGGCAGCGCAACGCGCTGGCGACTGAAGACCGGAAACTGGAGACTCGAAAGAACGTGAATGTGTGGGTTTGGTGAGTAGGTGGGGCGTTTGCTTGACCCTAATCAGCCAGACAAAATCCTAGTCTGTGATCGAGCTTCTGGTGAAGCTCAAATAAGTACCGGTAGGGAACTTATCCTATTCTCTGGGCCTCTGACCTCAAGGTGAGGAGCCAAGAAACTTACTTGGCTCAAGAAGAGCTGAAAATGACGCCTGTCCGTCCAATGTTGCTCGCCTCGTTGGTATTTGCATATCTGTCCGGACGAGGAGAAGTACAAGAAGCTGTCTCGCCGGGAGGCTCTCGTATGTAGAGCAGCATCTGATAGCCCGCGGTTGGTCTGGGCTCGCCGCTTGACAAGTTCCATTCCTGCGCAGGCACGCCGCACGTCGCTGCTGAAGTTCTTAGTAGGTGTGCATGGGAGTGATGGTCAGTGCTGGAGCTGGACTGAGGGCTTGGGTGTTGCGGGAGTGGTTGGTGTAGTCGAAAGTGCCTCCCCGCTCATCATCTAGCGGCATGTACTTCAAAGTACCTCGATGTCGGCCGGCCTTCCGAGTACCCGCGGGCCCGTCCAGGTCACGTTTCCCGAGTCCCTTACTAAGGTGATGCGGAAGGAGCGTAGACCAAGGCCTGGGCGTTCCTCTCCAAGCAACAACATGCCAGGCATTTATGAAGCTCCCTTTTCTCAAGCGTTTCTGCTCATTCGTTGCTCTTTTTCGGTGTTGCTCAGTGAGTCGGGAATTAACATGATAAATGCCTGGCTGCCAGTGGCGGCTTCGGGACCCTTGTTGTCTCCGAGCGGTAGGAGCAATACGTCAGTTGGGGAGTCCCCCCTGAGGCTGTGCTTGAGGATGGGGAGATTGCGATATTGACTGCTCGCTCTCTAAATATAAGGTACGTGAGCTTCTTTGCGTCCAGGGCAAAGTAAGCCTGGTAGGTACCTCGACAGGGTTTGGGAATGAGGGATCTCACCTGAAGGTCAGGTAGACATTCAGAAGACATCACCGGACATCGGACATGGCTTACCGTACACAGACCTGAAGAGATGGCATAGTTGGACACAGCCTTGTTGCTCGTACGCGTACCGGCGGATCAGCCTCGGGGCCCTGGATACCTGCAACCGAATGACCTACATGTCGTAAGCCGCATCCTCGCTCGTCAAGGTTGTTTACGCGTTATCGTCGCTCTCTTCTGATTGTAGAGGATAATTTGCTCGGGTTCCCTTGTTTGCGTTGCGTTACAAGACAGCAGCCCGTAGTCAGAAGCTCCCTCTCGCTCGTGGTAAGAAGGTCTGCACGCATGTCTCTGATATGTGCCTCTGAAATGGTACTCAGCGGGTGGCATGCAGACCGGGTGCGCGTGGGAGTAGAGCACACCGTACATGCATGGCGACGGTTTAGTATCCAGCCGAGCAGGGAAGCTTCAAAGTTTTAGCTGCCGCAAGATGAACGTGCTTCTCATATTGCAATGTCGCGCTTTCCATCATCAACCACTCAACGCTCCGATGCTTCGCCGGCAACGCACATACCTGGCGAGCTAAGGTAAAGTAGCGGGGGACGGCGGACGGAGGTAAAGAGCCGGGTAGCACCTTGGCATTCCCAATTCCCCAAAAGCTCGATACATAGGAGACTCCAGTATTTCGTAGAGGTGTTAAGGTACTGATTAGTTGTTGAGTTTGAAAGTATTGGTATAGTGTAATAATCTGTGGTAATGTGAAGTTGCGAGGTGTGATGTTAAACCTGGATTGGGTGCAGAATACGCCTACGCCAGTCTTGAATTTCTGTCGGAATTTCTTAGTGTTTGGTGGTGGAAGAAGGTGGAATGAGGAGAAGTGGAGGATGTGCAAGGAAGCTGAGGCAGGGCTGCACTAACAGAAATGAGGTTTCTTTTCGCAGCAGAAGAAGCTCAGAGCTACATCCCGCCGGTTTGGCCGGGCCCCGACGGCATCGGCCCACTCCCGTCGACCTTGACAGTCCCTGCCCTGTCACACACTTTAGGTACCACGTCGCGACAACAGCCCAGTGGGCTGCGGCCGCTGTGAGTGAGCGCACCCCAAATGCAAGGGTGTGCCGTGTGTGGGTACATCCTCCAAGGGTGCTACTCTGCTACCTGCCGGAGGTACCTTACCAAGACTTGGTTGAGGATACCCAAGGTAATAAGTACCTGGGGGCCGTTGAGTACAGGAAGAAACATCTCACTCCTCACTCAATGTGTTGGCTAGCAAATGGCATGCTGACGGCAACCTGTGAGTTCAAGTATCTTGTTCTTTGGTGGTGGTAGCAACCTTGTGCTTCTTCCGCAGCCCCTCCACAGACAGTGTTGCTATCCGGAACCTGAGCAGCTTCTACAGCCAAGCTCCCCGAGCAATGGATCCGTACAGTAAGGTAGATACAGGCTACGAAAAGCCCGAGATGAACTGAGTTAAGGGTCTTGCTGGACCCGATCTGCGCTCTATCTATCTTGTGACCGAGGTGTGAGGTGATGTGCCCTGGCTGGTGGGCTGTGTGGATGGTTTGGTGGTTTCGCTGGGGGGAAAGTTTAGTGGCCCCTCGCCTGAAGGGAATCGAGCCCAGTCACCACCACTGGCACACTCTCAGTTCACAGGGGCCCCGTTCAGCGTGTACCACCTCAGTGTCCGGCGTCCGTGGGCCCAAATACAGGGTGGATATGGGAAGATACCTCGCGTTACCGCGACATTAGCGCCGCCGCGGATGTACCTATGCATGTACCTACGTATTGAGACGGGGAACATCTGGGACTGGAGGAGGGAGGAGCCCTTGTGTCCTGTTAGTGAGAGGGGCCACACACCACTAGAAGACGAGGGACTGGCTGGTTGGCCGCCAAAGTGGAGCCCTGACCTAGGACTGGGACTGGGACTGGGACGGGGAACTGGGAGTGGCCGGACCACCTTGCCATGGCATGCCATGCCTTGCTTGGTCTGGCCTGGGCCTGCTGCAGTGCGGCCTTGACCACCACGGGCACCTATGACCATCTTTCGCTGCATTCTGAATCTCTCGACTCCTCTTCTCTTGAGTTCTTCCACTCTCACACACCCATTCAACACATCTTCTTCTCTCCAGCAATCTTCTCTCTACAGACCCTTCACCAAGTCTGAGAGAGAGCTTCGAGAAGCGACACCTCTTCTTTTTTTTCTTCATCCCCCCCTTTTCCTTTTTTCTCCTTTGCCCTGCCCCCCTTCGTGTGTTTCGATACCCTCAATTGTCGTTCGCGGTCCGGTTCTGTGGCCTCCTCCCCTCCCTGTCCCCACGACTGTCTCTGCGAGCTCGCAATATGAACAAACTGGCAAACATGCGTCACTGGTCCGAGAGGATGAGCCCCAACTTTGGAATGGGTCGTCCCAACATGCCCATGAACCCCATGAACCCGAGAAGAGATACAGTTCCTCAGCAGGCTGCTTCAATAAGCTCGCCTCAGCCTCTCGATGCTCCGACGCCAATCATTCACTACTCCTTCAACGTGCCATTCGCCTCTGACCTCGCCGGTCCCAACACTGAGGATATCCTTCACGCTACCGACGATGCCGTTTTGCGCTGGACCCATCCCGAGGACGTCGCCGACGATGTCCAGGTTCACGAGCTGCCTGTTCACACCCAGAATCTTGCCAACCTGCGCAAGGTCTGCAAGGACATCACCAACGGCCCTTTCCAGATCGAGGCTCATGTCATCTCAACGACCCCCAAGAATGCAAAGGGGCAGCAGGTCACTACCGTGTGCCTGTCGGGAACTCCGGAAATGGTCAACAAGAGCAGGGAGACGATTTTGAACGACAACCAGACTGTCTTGGTAGGTTTTGCATATACGGACGGGGTTGTTGGGCCGTGGATTAACCCGTGTCAATCTAGCGTTGTACGACTGTTGATGTTGAGGGCCACCTCGTCTGTGACCTGACCGCTGGTGCCTTGAAGCAGCAAGTGACGGACACCTTGGACTACATCTCCAAGTACTGCGGGGTCGACATTTTCCTGCTGGGACCCAAATTGACACCCGTGGTTGATGGCATGACGGGTGATGCCGAGATGCGTGTAGACCAAAGATGGCGAGTAGCCATCTATGGTGATATTCTCTCCGTCGAGCATGCAAAGGCCCGTGTGCTTATCCAAATTGACACTCTGGTAAGCTTGGCCAATCAACAGCATAGTTTTGTCTCACCTCGCTAACTGCATTGTAGCTCGGCCGAGTTGTCGATGCCACCAAGCTTGACCTGTCGATTCACCAGCTTGTGTGCGGCCGCCACCGAAAGAACATCAAGCTCATTGAGTCGTCGACTGGCACTGCCATCTACTTCCCGCCTCCTTTCTCCCAGATGTACCGATACTGCCCGCCTGGAGCAAGCCGCCGTGACCCTACAGACATCTTCATCACGGGCGAGAGCCCTCAGGCCATTGAGCTTGCCAAGCAGAAGCTTCATGAGACTGTTTCCCGCATCCGCTTGTATATGAAGGATGTCACCATTTCGCCGGCCAAAATTGACAGCGTCTTGCTTACCCGTCTCGACAAAGTTCGCAAGATCCTTGAAGCCAATGGCACCTACATCTTGTTCCCTCCTCTGGCAAGCCAACGCAACATGGTTCGTGTCCAGGGAAGCGAAGGATTGCATGTTGAGCGCACCGTCCGCGAGGTCATGGCCTTGGTAAGTAATGCAGGAGAACACGACCAACACCCAAATCTAACGATATTCTATAGGCCGGACAGTTCTACAGCGCAGCTTGGTGGATCCAACAGCCCGACAGTCGCCAGCTTCCGAACCCCGCTGACGTCAGAACTATGCTAGGTGATGTTTGTGCCAACTCGGATGCCGACTTGTCCTTCGACAAAATGAACTTCTCAATCACCGGTTCTGATGATGCCGTAAAGGCCGCCTTGATGGTCATGTCTGAGATCAAATTCCTTGTCCAGTCCCAGTACCAGATTCGAGTCAAGATTGAACTCGCCAACGAGCACAAGGAATTTGTGAGTGGCAAGAAAAATGGCAAAATCAACAAAATCATGGGCCAGAGCAGTGTACAGATTATTTTCGATGGCTTCAACGAGTATAACTTCAACATTGATGTCATGGCTGCCAGCTACGACTCGATGAAGCAGGGGCTCACGCTTGTCGAACAGGAGATGCCTGCTTCCATCTCCTTCCACGTTCCCGACCAGTACCACAAACGAATCATCGGCATTGGAGGACAGCATATCCAGCGCATCATGAAGAAGCACTCTGTGTTTGTCAAGTTCTCCAACGCCATGGACCGCGGAGGATTGGGCCGTGAGGATGACGACGTCAAGGTCGACAACGTCATTTGCCGTACTCCAGCCAGGAACGCCCAGAATCTTGATGCCGTTAAGAACGAGATTCTGGAAATGGTCGACAGAGCCGTAAGTTGACCAATTTAGTACGCCTAATCGCCAAGCTAATCAATTCTCTCTAGGACTCCGAGTATACTTCGCAGATCGTCAATGTTGACCGCCTGTATCATCGTCAGCTCCTGGCTCGTCTTGGCGAGATCGACGAGCTCGAGGGCAAGTACAACTGCAAGATTGTGTTCCCTAGCACTGAGCAGGCTAGCGATGAGGTCACTGTGACTGGCCCACAGTGGCAGGTACCTCATTGCGTTGATGAATTTTTGGTACGCCCACTTACAGACCTTTGCAGTTGGATCTCCCATACTAACACTCTGTCTAGGGCATGGTTCCTGACAACCACGAGTTGGTTCTCACCCGCACCCCTGAGTTCATCAAGTTCCTTGAGTCGCCCAGCTTCGCCCACGACCTTGTTCCGAAACTGAAGACGCAGTACGAAGTCGAGGTCACCGTCCATCAGGATGCCGATTCTGAGGATGGCTTGCCGGCTCTCGCCTTGCGCTGGACGTTTACTCGCAACAATGCCGGCGGCCTGCGTGACGCCATCGACTTCCTTCTTGCTCAATTTGCTACTGCTGGCGTTGAGGTGACCATTTTGAAGGGTTCAATCCCCCGGCCCAAGTCCGATTCTTTCGAAGACTCGCTTCAGTACTTTGACTCGAAGCTTCTTCAACATGCTCCGGCCACCATCGCCGCCGATTCCCCAACCAAGGCGGCCTTTGAGGGGGAGGTTGCTCGCGAGCGGGGCACGATCTTTGATCGTCTCCGCAAGCCTGGCAGCATGACCTCCATCTCGTCCTTTTTGGACCGCCGCAAGAACAGCTCCCACTCGACCCACGCCAACTTTTTCAAGGGATCTAGCAACGTGTCCAAGTCTTCTCTTATTTCGATCGAATCTACCCGCAGCTTCAATGCGGACAGAAACCCCTGGAACGATAGCGGCGTCAATCTTCCAGACGACGACAACCCATGGGCCCACCGCCCCATCGGGAATGGTTCTGACAAGCTGACCATTCCTCAACCTGGTGACGTTACGCCACGTCACAGCACTCGAGCGTCCGGCGACAGCGGGCGCCCTTCTACGTCTCATTCTACGAATTCTGGATACCCCGGTCCCATCGGACCTTTCCGTTAGATTCCCGTCTTAGAAAATCTACTACGTGCAAAATACCCCGGCTGGATATACCCTGGCGTACAATACCCCCGGAACGTTGCTTCCGATGCATCGGTCGGCCGAAGTTATTGTTTTGCTTGCTTTGCTGCTATTGCTTTTATCGTACTTTGTTTTACTTGATTTAGTTTCTTAGTCTTGCGGGTTTCGATAGTCGCTATCGCACGTGTTAACGTCCACTCTTTATACCCCCGAAGTCGAAAGGCGGAGGACAAAAAAGAAAAGATACCTTGTTTGCGGTTTGGCTTTGTTTGTTTATGCATTTAGCGCTCCTGGTGACCACGGTCACAGGGGAATCGAAAAAAGCGAGAGGTCGAGGGGTCACATGGTTTCGCCCATAACTCGATGTTGATATTTCAGCAGCCAGCTCTTGCAATCCTCTACAGATCTATTCATTATGGGTCAAGCCCCGCACAAGATTTTGTCTCCTGCCGCCAAAGGAGTTGAAAAGTAAGGGCGTGCGAGGTCCTGGGGCCAGCAAGGAGTGTCAATTGGGAAGAGATGGAAATAGGCCGTTCTACTCTGTGTGTGGGTTGGCTCAGCATGTCCGCCAGGCGGTGAAAGGGAAAATTGTTATGGCGGCAGGCCAGTATGGCGCAAGATTCAGCGGCTGACTGAACTGCAAGCGGGAGATGACGACGGAACCGTATGGATACCTGCAGGCCTTTTTTAGTTTGACCTTGAAATGCAACGATACCCATGGTCATTCAAACCACTGTCCCTTTTTCTGTGTGAGGTGTAATTGATGATAGTAGTAGGGGCTGCGAGGTTCTCGCTTCAACGTAGAGGACCACGAAACGTGATTCTGGAATTGAGGAGTTACGTTTGACCGGCACGAAACAGTTGTCACGGTTTAAACCTGAGATCAAATCCACAGTCAACGGTTTGGCGAACCCCCTTACTTCCCATGGTGCCTTCTGAAGCAAAGTGCTGCTGGCAATGGCCATCTGGGACGTATCTTCACACCTTTGGACATCATAGTTGGTCAGTCTCAGCAGATGCTCCCCAGATTGTAGATGTTCCCAAGAATGCTGTACAGATTTTCCCCGTCTTGCAATCTCCCCCTTGCAAGGCTCTATGATTTACACATGCACGCCGGCATAGGTCCAGACGATAACCCTCCAAAAGCTGTATAATCTTACAAGATTCATGCCACAACCCCCTTAGCAGGAGACAGCCCCCTCGAACCTCAAAACAACTAGATTCCCCATGTAGAAGCCTTTTTCCTAGCCTCTCAACCATAGAACATCGAATCAAGAAGCAACAGGCCCGACAGAGACCTTTTCCTGCCGCGCCCTAGCCTCCAACTGTGCCTTTTTATCGTGAGACCGCTGGACGCGCCGCTTCTCCGTCTTGAGGCTCGCGAACCGGCCCTTGGCACCGTGCTTGATCTTGGTAATCATGTCAGTCGCCTTGCCCTTGTCTACGTCGTCGGCCGTCAGGGGCTCCTCCTTGAGCCGGAGTTTGTTGAGGAAGTCGAGCTGACCCTGCGTGGGCGGGCCCTTGCGCCAGCGTTGCCAGCGCTGGACGAATGTGTGAGGGTAGGTTTCCGAGTTGGAGACGTAGTTATCGCTACCGTGGACCGCGTCGGCAAAAGTTGCTGCTTGGAGGAGCTCGCGAGGTGCGGAGTAGGGGGATTTGGCGACGCCCGGGGGCAGCGAGCGGATTTCTACGGCTTGCCACAGGAGCTGCTCCTTGCTTTCATCGTCACTGGTCTTGGTTTGGGCGCCAACTTTGAAGAGTCGGATGTAGGATCCATTTGGCGCGCAGAGGACGTACTTATCTTGACCAACTTGGACCCACGCGTACTGACTTATGGCCCGTATGTGCTGCTCGCCAGATGTGTCCTCGATCAGATCAAATACGGAGTCGTAGTCAGTGAAAGTTACCGATCTGGTGGGCGTACTTGATTGAAGTGCAGGAGTATCAGAATAAGCGTGGTCCTGACGGAGCTTTTCTGCTTCTTTCCTGTCCTTAATCTTCTCCATGTCGGCCGTAGTCGCTTCACTGACCAGCTCGCTCGGATCCAGACCAAAAAGCGTCGGCGTAGTGACGATGCCGGTTTGGAGACTGGAAACCATGTCGATGACATGGCAGTCCGACTTCCCCTTATGTAGCCGCATGCCTCTACCGATCATCTGCACCAGAAGGTTACGAGATCGTGTTGGACGAGCAAGAATGACGCAGTCGATATTTGGGATGTCGGTTCCTTCTGTGAAGACTCCGCAATTCACAAGCACGGGGAACTTCCCATTTCGGAACTCCTCAAGAATCTCGGCTCTCTCGACTTTGTGCGTGTCTCCTGTCACAAACCTTGCGTCGTAGCCGTGTTTGCGGAATGTTTGCGTCAGGCCAGCGACGTGCGCAAGGTCGACGCAAAAGACTAGAGTCGATTTACGATCGGATGCCTTGGCCAGCCAGCTCCGTACGGTGATTTCGTTGATCTGGTCCGTATTGACGGCCCTCGATAGTTCTCCCTGCTGAAAATCGCCATTTGCACCATTCTTGACCCTAGATAAGTCTGCTGTCGATTCCACCGTGGTGAACGTGACATCCGAGAGCCACTTATCTCCAATCATGTCTACATAATCCTTGTGATAGACGATCTGGTCAATCGCGGCGCCCAACTTGAGGCCGTCAAATCGAGAAAAAGTAGCAGAAACGCCCACCAAAGACGGCGAGTCAACTTTTTTACTATCGAGTCCAAAGTGACGCAGTACTCGCATGTAACCTGGCGCTACGATGTGATGCGCCTCATCGACGAGCACGAGCTTGAATCTTTTCGGGTCAAACTTGTTGAGTCGGTCCCCGGACGTAAGGCTCTGTAGGCTGGCAATTGTGATGTCCGCGGCGCCAGAAGCATGCATGGAGCCCATCTCAATCTCCACGGTGCTGTCGGGGTATGCATTGGTGCAGTGCCTTGCCGCCTGCTCGACAAGCTCCCTCCTGTGAGCGAGAATGAGGGTCTGCGTGGCAATGGTTTCCCTTGGCTGGATTCTTTCAATTAGCTGGGTGAAGATGACCTGAGGTTGTCAGTTGCCTGTAGTCATCAAAGGTGATCTCAGGCACTGACCGTTTTGCCACTACCAGTAGCCAGCGAAATTCCTAGTCTCTTGTGTCCATCTTTCAGGGACTGTAGCACGGATTGAATGCATTCTTCTTGATAGTCTCTCAGCTGTATCCGAGAGCTCGCGAATCGTACTCCAGCATAGGGAACATATCTCTTAACGGAGGTTCTGATGGGAATGGGAAGTCTCAATTCATTTACGCTGAAGGAAGGCGCCAGGAATTTCCGTGTGGCAAATGGTATCATGATGTGGTGGCCTCCATTCTACTAGAAGTTAAACATGAAAAAAGGACGTTAAAGTAAGGTATTGAGTGTAGTTGGTTGTCGCCGTCGCGGAAACCTGGATGTGCAGGAGAGCAAGGGGCGCGCAATTGCTCCAATCGATTGCCACGAATTATCCCCACACTACCTAGATAGTACTTTCCTAGATGTACCCGAAGTTTCCTGGTAACACTCATACAGGACTTTTAGGTACGCGCCTGTTAGAGTCACACAAGGAGGAACCTATGGTCCCCCATGCTGGGAAATCTTCCATCTTACAACACTGAGGCATCGCTCATCTCCTATCAACTAAGAGACCTCATGTATCTTGGAGGCAGCCACCGATAGCACACATCAAGCCTGGAATCCAAAACGCAGGACTCGGCTTCTATGAGGCAAAAATTCTTTTGTGCTGGTGCTCTCATCACAACATGTACGCGACACACCGCCTAGGCCGAATCGTCGACTTCAGATTTTCAGACGAAAATGAGCATGGAGCCGGATCACGACTATTTGCAAAACCAGGACTCAGGAGACCATGACCCTGAGGACCTCGATAAATCACCACCAAAACGGCAAAAGTTTGAACATCAGGAACAGTATTCTGCATATTCCGTCGCATCATCTGGCGACGATGAAAGTGGCACAGACGAAGGCCTCTCAAGACACAAGCGACGGGCGCAAGATGAGATCGTGGAACCGGTTCTTAAGCGTCACAAAGGCGTCTTCAACAACAACTACTTGGATCTATTGAACGGGGATATCCAAGATGTCGTTCATCACACAGCTTTCGGAGTTGACGATGATCTGCCCCCTTCGCAGATTGGCCTGACGACTTGGACGTCGTACGAGAAGAAGCTCTTCTTCGAGGCTCTCTCGAGACTCGGCAAGGACGACTTACCAGGCATCTCGACCAAGATCCAGACCAAGAGTGAGATTGAAGTCCGCCAGTATATCCTTCTCCTGCAAGCGGCTGTTGAGGGAAGGGACAAAGAGCAGGACGGAGGCAACAAGCCAATACATCTAGCAGATTACCCTGCAGCTCTCGAGATCAGTCCGCTATGCTGCCACGCGCTCGACGAAGCAGCCGACGCACTTTCGTTCCGTCAAGAACGGCACGAGGAGCTCGTCGAACAGAAGAAGTGGGGGGAGTGCTGGAACATCAACCTCGAGCTCGCGAAACGCATCGAAGGCGACCACGGACTGGACAAGGACCCGACCTTCGCGAGCGATCACGGACTGTCATTCACCGAGGTCCTTCGGGTGAAGAGCTTCCTTCGTCTTCCTGAGCGCATCTTTATGAACGCATCCAACGCAGAGAATAACTGGCAGTACGTTAGCGAGGAACCGCCGACGATCAGAGCAACTGCATTGCAGGATTTCCACTCCCTTCTCGTTTCTGTCACCAAGAAGATTGTCCTCACGACACTCTTCATTGCGCAATCCCGCATCCGAGCCAAGAAGCACGTTGAACCATCGACGAGGAATCTGGTCAGGCGCAAGGACGTTGAGGCGGCAGTCGCATCGCTGGGCATGAAGCAGAATAGCAACGAGTTCTGGACAACATGCGCACGGAGGTTACGACTTGACATCTGCGATGACGATGCCGAAGATGTTGGGGACGACGAGGATGAGGAGCCAATGCCATATGACCGCGTGGAAAGTGTCTTGCGCAGGGAAGCGGATAGCGAGCATGGGAGCCAGAGCTTCCCGACACCCCAGATCAAATTCCAGAAAGACGAATTGTCGGACTCGGCGGATGATGAGGACTCCGTCTTGGAAGAATCGAGTGATGAGGCACCTGCAATCATGGACGACGCAGAACGCGAGGTCGTCGAGGAGGCCAACGAGGTACTCGTCTACTCCGCGTACGACTTCCCCGAGACACATCGCACGAGAGAAGCCTTGAAGAACAGGATCAGGAACGAGCTGGCGCAGGAAGCGTATGCAGAGGCCGAAGATGCAAAGGCGAGCCGCGAGCACGAGTCGGACATGTGGCGGCTCCTGCAGCGACAACCCCCCGAGCCGTTTATCACGCCGCAGACCACAGAGCCTACTAAGCAAGTAGCCAGGGCTGTGGAAGACGTGTACGATGTCGGGCGGAGATGGAGGGAGAAGTTGACGTACCACAGCGAGTGGGAAATGCTCGGCACTTCTCAGCTTCAGGACAAGAAGGCATGATCCCGAGTTTGGTCGTTGAGTTTGGTTCCTGTTCTTGATACCCATAGATTTGGATTTATCTACTTTTTGTTCTTCTTCTTATTCCAAGAGCATCATCCCATGCTATCCTATGCTAGCGAGTGAAGCATAACACGAGGCGTGTCTGATTACGACGTTCGTACCAAGTGAAGCATTCATGAAGTCGCATGTCGCGAC